TTATTAGTTGCAAAGGGAGGCCGGTGGGTATAAAAAAAAATAAACACAAAGAAGAAGCAGGAGCTGGTGGTAAAAAAAAAACACGGATGGAATTGTGGGCACATTTAACTATTTTTAAATGCAAAATAAAGAGAATTAAAGAGAATCAACACTTCTTCTTCACACATTATAATAATGATAACAACAGTCAAACCCTAGCATTATTACATTTTATTCACACATTGCTAAATGAAAAAGACTTGAGACAATAGAGAAGCTCAAATATATTAGGGAAGTTTTTAAATAAAGCATTATCTGCAACAGCTCCATGAATTAAACTGGTAAAAATGAACAACAATAAACTGATGGGAAATTCCATCAACAATTCATGCCAAACAAGAAAACAAGAGAGGAGAAGAAAACAGGACCAACAGAGAGGAACAGAGAGAAAGAGTCCGGGCTGATAACATTCCGCTCAAAAGAAAAAAACTCACTAAGAGTACAATACGACCTCTCTGTGCAAACTATAATGAGCTGATAGGATAAGAATTTGGCCAGCCTCACACTTGACATCACTTGTGACATATAGGTAATAAAAAGCAGTTTTACACTGCTAAGAATTGTTGCACGGCTGAAGGTTTTGGGGCTTTTGTACCTGAGAAGAATCCACACATTGTTTCCAACAGTCTGTCAGAAATACAATTTGTTGCTTTTTCTGTACATTTGGAAAAATTGCAAAAGATAACAGGTTGAAGAAGTCTTTGAAATTCTAAAACTAGTTTTGAATGCTAAAAAGCAAAACTATTGTTCCTAAATGCAATCTATGTTTTTGAATCCTCCATCTGTAAACACTCTTCATGCTTGACTTAGTGTCTAAATTCAAGTATCTAAAAATTTTGATTCATTCTCCCTGTTCAAGAAAAATACCAACACAACTTTGCAATTTGCTTCAGAATTAAAATGTGTCTTTAAAGCACAAATAAACATAGATCTGCTATTATTAAGTCTTTGCTTGCTAAAAATTTATCAGGGGTTCACTGAGGTAAATTTAGCCTCATTGACACTTGCAGTCAATTAGGTTCTTAGACTGTGCATGATGTTCGCTAAACTGTTCGCTAACTTTATAAAGTTGTACAAAGAAATTTATAAATAAACAAAAAACATGTATGTTTTAGTTTTATTTCTGAAGACCACTATTAAATTTGAAAGCAAGTTTTGCCCTTAATAGCTAAACAAATATATGAGGGAAGACTCAAAATGCCAGCAGACCTCTACTTCACCTCAGACAGAAAAGGAAAAACTAATTTTGTACAAGATGGAAATAAAGAACAAGAAGGAGAGTTATGGGACGGGATGATGAGTCCAACACGTCGTGTGATGCTGTCATGTGCTCTTAGGAGAGGATCATGGAATTACAGGTGATCAGCAGTGCTTCAAAACACACACACGCACACACACACACACTCCAGAGGCTTAACTGTACTGCTCTACTGACATAGGTACACATTGGTCACCAGTACACTGCTGCCATTTTTCCCAGGAATAACGTCTCATATCAGCTTGAGAACATCTTTTGCAAGAGTTTCAATGAATAACTCACCCTTAACTGACTGTGTAGGAAAAATAACAGCAGACAAACCAACAGGGAAAAATCGAAATTAACCCAATACATCAGCTTTTAGAACAAAGTCTGATTCTATTATTTATCTGCATCACACATGAACGCCTCAATGTCTGGGGACAACTTGGAGCAAACTCCTTACCGGCAGGTCAACGCTGACATCTGTCCCGTCCAGTAAGGAAACACGGCAGGTGATGATGGACGTTGCGTCCCCAGCTGCAGGGATGTGTGTCGTGGCCCGCTGTGCTTCTCGTAAACGGGTTTTCTCGGCGTGTTTGCGGATGGAGCGCCGGCCTAAAGTCCTGCGCAGGAAACTCAGCATGGTGGGTGAGGAGCAGAACAACAGGACCACACCTGTTGATGAAGAATGAAATTAGTAAGAGAGTAGCTGTGTGTCCCTGATTATTAATCCCTGGAAACAGTGGGAAGTTGCAGATTTCAGGGTCCAGAAATACAATTTATCAGGCTGGATTTTATTTTCTACATGTTATACTAATTATAAAACAATACTGTAGTAAAGACTGATAAGCCTGTTACAAATTTACAATAAGCAATAAATCAATTAACAGCATAATTAAATGAAATGAGATCAATGATTTAAAGTCTGACAACAAATGTTCAACAGATGGTTCTCTTTTTCACATTTGCCTGTTCTGCCTGTCTAAACTGAATGATTATTGTTTTATGAAATGCAATTTTGGTTACATAATCTATTTTAATTATTGTCATTTTGGTTATTTTGTTTGGTTATTTGGACATTTCTAATATTCCACAGTTCTAGTGTGAAATGTGCTGGAAGTTTATTTTTCAGCATTTGGAACCTTTAGAGGCAGAAAAATACAGCAGACTGGGGCAGTCTGCTGTAAACATTCAAACAGCAACAATTTTGTAGTTTACATGAAATTATGTAAACTAGTTTGGAAGTTTGGAATTGTTCAATCCAAACTAGATTGAATAATTGAGAATCCTCTTCATGAGATTAACATTTCTTCAGTCAGAGGCTTCTTCAGAGTCGCTGTAATACAGACCACCACAGGAGTTCCCTCCTCCACAGCCTTTAGCATCTACAACTCTGAAGAAAAGTATGAGTCACAGTAACATTTAGCTTCCTTCTCGGATTAATTAAGTATTTTGAATTTGAATTGATAGAATAAATAAAGGCATTTTATAGGAATCTGTTATAAACAATAATTGATTCTAGGGTGAAATGTCTAAATATTTTAAATGTGGCCTGTAGCCCAGATTCCTTAAAAAGAAAAAAAAAAGGCTAAATATCCCTTCAAACGAGTGCTGAATAAGCTGCTGTGCCTCGGTTGCTAACTTCAGCGTCAAAAATCAAAACCTAACGGAAAAACCATGGATTAAAATACATATTTAAATCCATGGTTTATTACGTTTTCAAAACTATTTGAATAAGCTCCCCGGCAAATAAAGGCAGATTTATTTGCGTATTGTACATCTAGAGTTCGCAATCACCAAATGTCCGCCGCTTTGTTTTCTCCGAGCAACTCTATTTCAAAAAGTCTGGAACATTCTCTCACATTTTAATCTTAAACTGGAACAACGACTGGGAAGTAACCGTTTAATCCTAGCGACACCTGTAACGGTCGGGGCCTGAAGTACCTGAATACCAGCAACAGGTGGGCACTTGTTTTATCACACCGGCTGACGGCTGCATATAGAACTAATCGAATATAAGAGACTCCGAACGTGCTCCGCTACAACAAAACAAACACCACCGTTAGCTCCCGAAGCTCACTGACTTACACACGCTTGGATACTTACAAAAAAATCCTCCTAGTAAGGAATTCACGGGGAAAGCACGTCCGCCTGCATTGTACTCCGCTAAAGTTGAAGTTTGTATAGTTCCATACTCTATAATTTAGCCTTATCCTGTCAATTTCTCCGCTTTTTCAAACCACCGTCCTCCGTCCAGAGAATGATTTTCCTCAGTCCCAACAAAAAAGTAGGAGTCGAGCTCTCCTGAGGAAGTGACGTCAGGAGAAATCCAGAACAAAAAAAAAATCAAATTAGCATATTTAAAGGGACCAACCCTTTCTCCGCTTTCAGACGTTTTAGTGTCTTTTTTTCCAACTACAAATAATTATAAAATAATACTAATAATAATATCTGTATTTGGAAGAATTTCTGGGCAAGAGGTAATGATGGTATACTTTAAGCACACCGTCACTCAGCAGGATCCATAAAATTACTATAGCCATAATTAAAATATTTAAAAAATAGAATGGCAATGCTTCAATTGCCTTGAAAAGACATTTTCTTTCTATTTATTAAATTTTAGTCAGAAATTATGTGCATCAGCTTCATGTGGCAGCAGCACCTTCTGCTGATCAACTGCAGGAATCACACTTCAGACTTCTCTGGGTGGTTTCTGAAGGTTGATGTTCACATTGTATTAATTTAAATCAGTGCATTGCTCTTGACCAAATATTATGAAACTGTTCTACAAGTACCTCTAACTCTACAAACACTCAGAAGATATTTTTATTAGTTATTTATAATATATATATATATATATATATATATATATATATATATATATATATATATATATATATATATATATATATATAATGTTTAGTAACTACTTGCTTAGGTTGTCTAGATCTAGAGCTAGACATTCATTTATTCCTTGATTTTTTTAAAATTTTTTTTGCATGCCTTGCTTCAAATGACTATGACTTAAATTTAAGGACAATTTGGACTCCAATTGTATGAGAGAATTAAACAATATCAATCCTTGGTTGTTTGGTTAAACAGTAATTGAAAGGACTAATAGAGCAGGTATGTGTCTTGTGGAAGCAGAATCAATAATTTTGGCCAAAAATAGTAATAACAATAATAAAAATAATAAAACTTGAGATCATACTAAGCAATCAAAACATCACAACTTCAAACAGATAAAGTTTGGATTCTTAACAGAGTCCTGTTTTGAGAACATGCATCTAGGCACTTACCTGACTGCTTTTTAATAACAGCTTCCAAAATAATTTCTTTAAACTGAATTCCCAAGTCAAAAGTGACAAGGAGTATAAACGAGTTAAAAATAATAATTAGTCTAACCTATTTGGGATCCTATGGTGTATATTCCACTTTGGTCTCCCTTTCTGCTAATTTGAAACATCTTTCTTTAAATATTTTATATTTAATATTTCAGAAGTTGTGATTTATCCCTCTAAAATATCCACCTGCATTGTACTACAACCATAGATACAACCAAATATCAACCACATATATTTGCTTTGTAAATCAAGAGATCCATGTTTTTTTGTAGTTAATTGAAGTCTTCGGTTGTGATCCAATCTTTCTCATTAGCTGATGGATGTTGCCTTATCTGATTTTAATAGTCTGGAAAAGCAATGTGATCTGAAGCCACATCTCCATGCTTTGACAGACAAGCTTTAATTGATCAGAATCAAGCTTATAGACATGTCCAAAGCACTGTAAAACCATAATACCAGATAAAAAACGAGCAACTGAGAACAAAAGCATCTTTTTATGACACAGGTAGGAAATAAACCAAAGGGTATAATACGGTAAAACACTTTGTGGTTCATTAAATATATACACTCGCTGTTTTAGATTGAAATAAAACAAACAAAACTTTGAATTACACAGCATTTGTGTCACATTTGGAATCATCCAAATAAAAAATAAAACCATTTTTCTGCTCACAAATGATTTTCCCTTTTATTTTAAAGTTTTTTTTTTTCATATACAACATTGTATTTACATGGTCTAGTAATATTTACACAAAATGAACAAGTGGCACTGTGTCATTAGGAGTTCTCTTCTTTGTTCTTTACAGGTGTCTCATTTTCAAAGAAAAACGATAAATTAAGAATAAAAGTACTTATTTTAACAATGCTTTACGTCTCTTAGATCTGCTTTTTATGTTCAGTAGCACTACCTGCCCACCCAGCCTCTCTACAAAGTGCTGTTCCCTTCTCCTACCCAATTAAAACTGCTATTAGTTTTTTTACAAAAATACAACTGAAAACCTCCCCACATCTCTTCTCCTCCCGACTTCTATCAATCAGTACCTTAAATCCCCACTTAAATGATCAAATTCCCAACAAATTATGAAGATTTTCTGCTTTTGTTTGATTTCTTTTCAAGCTGATTTGCAGCTTTAAGCTCTCTCACACACACACACACACACATCAACAAAAACAGTTAAAACCAGTTCTTCAGCAAGCCATTGATTAGCTGGTTTAATACTGAGCTGTGCTTCTGGACCCGGCATACTCTGCTCAGATGTGTCGTTTTGCTTTGAGGCCATGCAGAGAGTGGGATCTGTGTACAATGAACTGAAAACAGAGGCATCTGGGTGGAAAGAATGGGGAAAATGGATGTTGTGTGGGCTAAGCAAAGAGGACTGAAGGATGCTGGGAGGGTGACACACTAGACGGAAAGCTTAAGCAATAAATAAAAAGTGGAAGAGGATGGCAGCTCTTTGTTCATCCTTAAAATTATGATTCAGCTCTCTAAAAAAGGAGGATCAAAACACTGCACATATTTTCTCAAGCAAGACTCGGGTGGATTCAGAAGCATTTTTCCAATTTTGTGCAAAGAGGAGGTGGAGTACCTTGTAAAAATATTCAAAAGTTATGAATGTTTTACGTTTTACATTTCTTTGGTTCAACTTACTATCAAGGAACTCAACGTAATTGATTTTTTTTTTAAATAGGCCAATACAAAGTTGTGCATAATTGAAGATCAGAAAATAATAGAAAGTCAGAAACTTCTCTGGGATTTAGGAAAGAATGCTCAAGAATAAACTGGAGCCAAGAAGAAAGTTATCCCATCTGCACTTTGGAAACAAGTGGAAGAAGGTGAGCCAGTTTAAGCTGAATATTTTAACTTAAGTGTGAAAACAATCTTAATACTGTAAATACAGTAAACCCGGGTGGTGGAAGCATTGTGCTTTGGGCATGCGTTTCTTAAACTGAGACAAGGAAGTTGGTTGTGTCTGATTGGAAAATAGATGGAGCTGTTTAAATCCTGTTCAAAAATAGCCTTGTCAAAGTCTAGACCCAATTACAATTGAGAAAATTGTTTTCTTCTAGGTCTAAGGTCTAAAAATTAATCTTCACAGTTCCTCCAATCCCTTTTTGAGCTTCAGTTGATCTGAAAAGAAAAATTTACTCTCCATGTTTGCACAGCTGGTAAAAAAAATACCCTAAAATACTAGTAGCAGTAACTGAAGACAGAGTGAGTTACAATATTTACTAAGATGCATAGAAATAAAACACCACAGTAACCTTTTTGAATAAAGGAAACCAATGTATCCTTTTACTTCAACTTTAAACATTTGTGATTTTAAAAGGGGAAAATAATGGAAATAATTTATATTTTGAAAGTCCTCTGAGGGAAGGAAAGAGATCAACACAAATGAGACTTCACGCGCGCGCGCACACACACACACACACCCCACACACACACACACACACACACACACACACACACACACACACACACACACACACACACACACACACACACACACACACACACACACACACACGCACACACACGCACACAGGTTGTGTACACACACGCGCACACACCCCAAAGCAACACAGAGCTGCAGGGGTTTCCAGAAAAATCCATGAGTTAATCAGATCAAAAAGTAACTTAAAAAAAAAACGCTCAAAAAAATTTGGCGAGGTAAAAATCAATCATTCCTCTTTTTCATCACTCAAACATAATTGATATAAAACACTCTGGAGAAGATCAGATGGAAAAATGATTATGTGTAATGTTTGTGCCGCCTCTGAAGTCTTTCCTGTCAACTAAGTTCCTGTTTGCCACAACCCAGTTCAAAACAGGTAGAGTTTCACTCACGTCTTTTTATTTTTAAAGAGATCAGCTCACTGTAACTACTTCTGTTGATGCACCTCAAAAACAAACAAATACTGATTGCATACAACTTGTAGCAGCTTTTCAACCACATCTGAAACAAAAAAGAAAACTGAATGAAATACCTGGAAATATCTGTGTTGCAAAACTCATTTTGATCAGACAGAAGATTTCCTTCTGGAATGAAGCAGGGCTTTCCTGTTGGTGTCTGGCTCAAGGACACTTCAGCAGGAACACTGACAGGATAAAAACGACAAGTGATCCCAGTTGTTGAGTTCAGATTATAGCTCAGGTAAGTATTTCTCCTTCTGCCTGAATACTGCTGTGAATATTTGCAAAAATTAAATAAAGATCTCCACTAAACAAAGGCCCTGAGGACTGCAAACTATGAATGTGTGCGCGTCCAAGCTTAAAAACACAGAGCATGAGAAAGTACCCAACCTGCCACAGCATTGAGTAAGAGGCGAAAAAGTGCTTTCAGCCACCCACCTGAGTCTATGCTGTCAAAAATGTAATCAAGAAAAGTGGAGGAAGATTTCAAACCAAATACAATAAATTAAATCACTGCGTTTTTCCCCCTTGAAAAGCCCCAAAACTAAAACTTAAAAAAAAAAAAAAAAAAAACACAAGAAATAGCCCCAAAACTAAAAAACTCAAAACAGAGCAAGAAGCGTAACACTATTTTACTAGCTAAGATTTAATCAGGAAAGCATGAAGCTCTAGACTCGTACAGACAAACAGAACATACAGCTATTTTTTTGTTCAGTGGACAGGGTTTGACACAAACGAAAACACAATAAATACTCTGTCTGAGGAACAAAACATAAGATTTCTTTTTAATCAGCTAAAAGGACTTTGAAAAAGGCAGGTCCGTCTGGCAGACTCGCTTAGAAGGGGACAGGATGACCCCTTTGGATTAAAAAAAAAGAGAAAAAAAAATCAAAAATGAAGGTCGGGGGAGCTTTTCATCCATGGGGAAGCTCCTCCCCTTCTGACTTATGGCACTACAGCGATTTTCCAATCCAAACTTTATTTTTTTGTACTTTTTTATTCTTTGTACACTTGTCTTCTAACCCTGATCATAAAACACCCCGTCACTGTACCTATTCAACACAGCTGGAATTCTGTTATTTTGTTGTTTCAGTTCAGCGTTTTCATGTTTGTCCTTTTTTTTCCGTTTTTATCAGCATAAAGTGCAACAGTGCTTCTGTTTTCTCCTCCTCCTGGCGACTTCCACGCTGAGGTTAGGGGTCAGCAGGAATGGGATCCGGATCTGGGTTCGCGCTGGTGTCGCTCGTCACGCTGGTGCAGCTCGCGACGCTCGGCTCCTCCTCCGTCACTTCCCCCACGTCCAACACCTCCACTTCCTCGTCGTCGTCCTCGTCCTCCTCATCCAGGCCTCCCTCCAGAAGCTCCACCACAGCCGCCTCTGCTTCCTCTTCCACTTTCTCCGGCTCTCCTCCGTCCTCTTTCTTCGCTTCCTTCTTCGTTTCCTCCTGAACCTTTTCCTCCCTGGGCTTCTCCTTCAGCTGGTAGATGCCTGCTGCTTGGGGCTTGAACAGACCTTCATCGTACACTTTCAAGATGGCCTCACACACAAAGCGGTACTGGCTCTGAGTAGAAAAAAGCACAAAGACAGAAGAGAACATTAAAAGCACTGATCTGATTCCAAGGGTCCTGGATCCCATCATTTAGGTTCATTTTTTAATATAAAATTCTACATTACACTGTGAATTTATGGCATATATTTTCAAAGTAGTAAAGACCTAAAACCTGCAAAATCCAGAAACTGGGATGAATATATGGACATAAAAAAAGAAAGAATTATATATAAAAGGAAAGAGGAAGGAGACACAAAAGGAAGGGAGCAAGTAAGGAAGGACACAAAAGACCCAAGAAAGAAGACAAAAAAGACATAAAAAGGAAAAAAAAGAGGAAGGATTCAAGTTAAGGGAAGAAGGTTACAAAGAAGGAAGAAAAGAAAGAAAATGGAAGGATTCAAAGAAGGCAAGATATAAAGAACTGAAACAAAGAAGGAAATAAGGAAGAGTATAAGAAAGGTAAAAAGAAAGAACATGAGGATAGAAAACAGGTACAACAAAGAGGGAAAGAAACACAAGAGCCAAGGAAGAAAAAAAAGACAAGGAGACAAAAAGAAGAAGACAATAAAAGAAGATGTAGGACCCAAGGAAAGGAAGGAAGGTCAAAAAGAAGTAAAGACAAGAAAAAATAAGAAAGGGCACAAAATAGTTAAAAAGGAAATAACACAAGGATGAAAGAGAGGTATAACATAAGGAAGAAGTAAAGAAGGAAATGAAGAAATAAATGAAGGAACAAAGGATACAAGAGAGGAAAGAAGGGAAAGAACAAAGGAAACACAGAAGGATGCACTCAGGAGGAAGCAGCTGCGCGATCACAAAGGCCTGTCCACTTACTGGTGTTTGTATCATCATGGCCCTCTGATCTCTCATTGTTCTGACAATATCCAGAGGATACACAGGCTGGCCGCACTCCATCAGACACAATGACGTCTCCATGGTGATCAGAACCCCTGTTCGACCAATCCCAGCGCTGGAAAAAAAAAGGTGAACCAGAAGAATGGAAAGAAATTAAATTCTCTTTAACCTCTCAGCTGGTTAAATATCAGGTTATGATCTTTTCATTAAAATGACATTTTTAATGTTTATTTTTAAAAAAACTGTGCTTTGAGTAACAGTTGATTTGTTGTAATAAAAAAAGTCTTGATTTCACACTAACTAACAAACCCTCTGGGGTTTTTGACAGTATTTTTTTAAGTACAGAATGTTTATCCGCTGAGATCATGAGGCTGTGTGAGCTTTCAGATCATGCAGGTGGGATTGTGGAATCAAAGGAATGTGGTTTATGATGTGCTGCCTTAATCTGTGGGGGATTTCCCATTGTGCCTGACATCTGGTGTAAAGTGTTTAAGCTACCGTAATTGTTTTTTGGTTGACATGGCTTATCTTGTTCCAACATCATCACTTTCTTAACTTAAACATTTTAGAGAAAATTGTTCCAAAATAACTTGTGGTTCATTAAAAAACAAAGTTGCAATCCTAGCTTTTTGCCAACATGTTATAAGAACACTCCAAAATGCCATTTTTAACTAATACTTAATATGCTCTTCTATAACACGGTCCGCTTGATAGTATATCCTGCCATTCCTTGCCATGTGTTTTTAGGATTGCACATTCTCCTTAGGATGAATTAGCAGGTCTATCTCTGGAATGATGAAAAGATTGGCAGCTGTCCTAAATGTTTTTCATTTCAGAGATTGTCTACCTGCAGTGCACCACCATGGGCTGGTCCTGTCCGGCTCGTTTGCTTCGTACCAGAGCCACAAAGTCCAGGAAATCAGTAGAGTCGTCAGGAACGCCATGGTCCGGCCAAGCCAGGTATTGGAGCTGAGTGAGCTCTCTCTGCTGTTCACTCTGGAAAAAAAAAAAATTAATAAATAAAAAAATCACCACATAAAATTACGAGAGAAATGAATAAGATTATGTTGTTCAGGATATGTTCTATTGAGATGTGAGCAGCTACGGCAGATACAGTCTAAAGTTCAGAACATCAAAGTACGGAACCATTAAAACGCCCATGTGTGGTAATGAAGCCAACTTTTCATTTACATATTCCCTATTTTGTAAACAAAAAATTATTCATCCCACTCCTCGTTCCTCCAGTTAGTTTATCCTTTCTCTCTCTCTCTCTCTCTCTCTTCTCTCTCTCTCTCTCTCTCTCTCTTCCTGCAGCGTGACCGACTGTGGTGGTTGCGTTGTCATGGCAGCCAGTTCCCACAGCATGAGACTGGCGCTCGGCGGTGGGATCCAGAAAAAGAACAGCCCACACTGGTCACTATGGCAACACACCTCTTCGGGGTTCTTAGCAGGCTGAATGCACCTCGGTTCTAAGTCCGTTTGGTTCAATAAGTGCGTGTGTGTGTGTGTGTGTGTGTGCGTGTGTGTGTGTGTGTTGTGTTACCTGTGTGTGAGTCAGAGTCATCTCCCGCACCAGGAAGGCGGAGTTGCCCTCTTCGTTGTGGCACGTGACTTTAAAGTCTCCGAAGGTGGCGCTGCTGTCTGGGTTGGGCCAGTACTGGTGACACTTCACCTGTAAACACAGACAGAAGGTTCCAGTCATATCTGTGCGCCGAACAGATCACAGATCTGCGTTTATTCCAAGAGCTTGCAGGTGTCAACACTGCTGCTGGAGCGTTCGTTGTTGTTACGCAACGCCGGTTTCACTCTTTCATGAGTTTGTTCCATGGAAAATGAATGAAGAGATGCAGCAAAGATAAAACTGCAGTCTCCAAATAAATATTTTGAAAAAGAGAGAAAATAAATGAGGCAGTCAATTCATAACAATTCAAGACAGGCATGAGAAGGTTAAACTTTTAGAAATGGAGTGATGGATGGACGAATGGATGAATGGACGGACGGACGGATCCTATCGAGAAACCTTTATCTTTTTTATACTCTAAACTATCTGGTTTTAACTCATTAACACAGAAACAAAACCTGAAAGCTGAAATCAAATCTCCAGTAGAAGCATCATGGTGTTTTGGTATGTAGCTGTGACATACCCTGCCCCTCTCCACCTGAGTGGTCAACATGACCACCATGGACGAGCTCTGCTCCCAGGTCATCCGCCAGAAGTCAGGGCAGGTGTTGGGCAGTGGGCCCTGGCACGCTATGTAGCGGTTTATCAGGCTGGACGCAGGAATCTCCATCTGCACAGAGGAAAACATCATGCGGCAGAAAATGTCAGAAAGAATATTAACGTATCGCTTTATCACGGGTGAGCTACAATAAAAACATGTGAAAGATACTTACATTGATGTAGTTTGCATTGATGTAGTCGTCTGTGCTTTTCAGTACGACCCGTGTGGCATCATCTGTTAGAGAATAAAAGGAGTGAGGCGTCACAGTTAGTAGGGCTGAAATTATTGATCATGATTACTCCATTACTGAAATAATGCTCAACTAATTTAGTAAGCCATCAATCATTAGCTGGAGGTTACAGACTAAAAAAAACTAATTTTCTCAAAGAACAATGAAATCAGCAGTAACAAAGAGCAACAATTAAGGAGAAACTGTACAACAATGTATACATTTTAAATTTTTGTGTGTTGTATTTGTTACTGGCTCTAGCCCTTGAAAAGTTTATTTTTTAATCTCAATGGATTTTTATTCTGATAAAATAAAAGCTGAATGAAAATAAAGATGAAAAATCTTTATTTGTAAACTCTTATGAAGCATCTTTTGTTAATAAACTATTAATTTGTTAATCCAAAATATATTCATCAGATTATCCCTATAATGTACTGATGCCACGTCGAGCAGAAAGCTTTTCATGTGTTGAGAAGTATTTTCTTGGCTGATGAAAAATCCATAGCTGCAAGTGATCAAGTATTCACTAAAGTAATGCTGTTATTGGATTTTAGGCAATAAAATATTTATTTTCTTATTTAAAAAAAGAAATGAAATTATTTATTATTCATTCAGATTCTTTTATTTTATTTCCAATATTGTGTAAAAAAGGTTTTAGTGGTGAAAGAAATATGGATATGGATTTTTTCATCCCATTATTATGATTAGTTGCAGCTCTGAAATTTAAGACGAAAACAAGCAGAGAAAGGAGCGAGTGTGAGGGGAGGAAGTAAAAAAAACACATACATGGGGAGATGTCTCTGTAGCGATTTTTGGAAACGTTCTGAGGTAATTTGGCACACAGCATGGTCATCCCCGGCCTCTTCCTGTACAGTTGCTGTGGGATCAAAGATGGAGATTATCAGCAGGATAAGCCTTTCCCTCGCCGATGCATGCGGCCAGTCTGACTGTGTGAACCTGCTCTCCTTACATCAAACTGAGCCAGAATGGCTCCACTACTCAGGCCTTCCTTCAGAGCCATCATGGAGTCCCTCAAGGCATGTTGGTCGAGCTGGGTGGAATCCTGCAGGGACTTCTCTGGGATGTACTGAAATTCCGGCTCGGAGTCGACCTTCTCTTCCACTACGTCGTAGATGGCTGGAAGGTAGGGAAACAAGTCACACAACTTTTTCTGGACCTCAAGATGAGAAGAAGAAAAGCATTTTATCCTGCAATTTGTTTATAGTCAAAGGTTTATATACACCCAGCACAACATGATCCTGCCACCACTGTGCTTCGTATTCGTAAAGGTGCAATCCAATGGAAACATTGTTCAATTTTTGTCTTTTTTTCAGTCATACTTTACTGTAAATATCTGGTTGCAGTTGAATGTTTCCATAGTTATAATAGAAATTATGCAGTGATCATGGTGTGACGTACTCTTTCAACATCTGTAGCTTAGCCCCAAACAGTCAAGTATGGCTGATCTTTCTGATGCTACCATTACTTTTTAACCTCTTTTATCAACTACTTTCAGCATACAGAAAAATAGGATTGGTGCTTTTTATTAAAAGCAGACCTACAACATAAAACCTTTAACTTCTCTGTATTTTTTAGGAGTATTTGAATTCAAAAGCTTTGTTTCAACTGTAAAAAAGAATGTACCGTTCGGCCTGACCAGTAGGATGAGTTCTCCAGAGTGGCTTTCACAGCTGGCCTTGATGAACATCACCACCTGATCATGGGTGTGGTCGGAGATGTCACGCCCATTTATTAGAACCACCTGGTCCCCTTCGTTAAGGCGAGGCACACAGAGGTCAGCCTGAAATAGCAGAAATGGGTAAGGAAATGATCTTATATCGTCCTGAAAGGTTTCTGCTCAGATGTTTCGGTCGTCTTACTGAGGTTCCCGGAGCCACTCTAGAAACAATGATGGGCATCTTCTGGTCAGCTCCACCCTGGAGATAAACACGTTAAAAGTCCAATAATGTGCACACCAATTTTTTTTTAAAGACTGCACACTAATAAAGGATCCAGCAAACCACAGAATTAAAGCTAACCTTGACATTGAAGCCGAAACGTCCGTGTTCATCGGGCCTCATCTTGATCAGGACCAGATTATCATGTGGGACGACTCCGTTCAGCTGAAAGCACCCATTAAAAACACAACAATGTTAGACTTGTATCCACACACAGACCTGCATTCGTTATAATTACTGAAGCTGTAAGGGAGATCAAAGACATGAACGTGTCTAATGCAACCACCAGAGGGCAAAAAGTGACATAAAGCTGTATGACTGTTTTATAGCAGTAAACATTTTCATTTTTATTTTAGCATTAACACCTTTTGAAGCATATTCTATGAGGTATTATTGTCAGATCAAAGGTAATTTTAAGGTATAAACTAGCTCTCTTTCTGCCTTTGTCTTATACACAAAGCAGAAAATGTTTTGGAAGAAAATACATTTTAGCTTTGCACAAAAACAATAAGTATTTCTTGAAATATATTAGTCATATTGTTACGTAACAAGCATGCAACAATAACTGTTCTGCTGATGGAGGAAGATTTTATGAATTAGTAAAAAGTTGCTTCATTGTTTATGATGAAAAACCTTCCGATAAATTAATCTTTTAGACAAACCCAACCTTTAGTTTGAGCACATTTTCAAAGATTTCTTGAAAGTCAATGCAACTGACACAATATTTTTAATTTAACTTTTGTTTTTACAAATTTATCAAAGTGACAGTGATTACTAATTAATAATCTATAACATTCTTAGTTTTTGTTTTCTGAATATGACACAAAAACCCATTTCTCTGAGCAACTCTTCAAAAAACAAAGAAAGTCAGATCTGTACTGATTTGTTTTAAGTTGTGAAAAGCCTTCAAGAAGTAGATACTTCACTAAAGTTGCCCATGTCTACAGTCAGAGAAAGTAAAGATAAGAAAAACTGGAACTGTCACAAACCAGGCAAAAACAACTACTGATATTTATCTTTCCTAAACGGACAGAAAGCAGGGTGTTGTGGGAGGTCAAGCAACAAAACAATCTGATTGTGATCCGGGAAAATAAAAACCTGCCCCGCATGGTCACAAATGTAAACACGAATGAATTTTCTTCAAGAAAAAAACCAGCTGGTTCTGGTGGGAAGCAAATGATGAACAAGTGGGAAAGCACTTCTTCTCCACTTTGAACTACGTTGTAGAATCTGTGATGCTGTGGGCCTGTTTTTCTTCTACAGGCCTTTTAGAGCACATGCCACCATAAACTCTGATAAACCAGGAGATTTTAAATAGAAAAGTGCTGTTTTTTGCTACAGAGTTGAAAAAGAATCATGACTAGATCTCTTGGTGGAATAATGTTCCAACACATACCGCCAAAACAATAAATAAATGGTTCATTAGACAAGAAATCAACCTTGTTTAAGGTAACAAAGGCAGCAATGCTGAAGTTTTTTTTAAAGCTCAAATTAATGATTTTATTTTTTGGTCTTTTTATGTGTCTATATGAGGTTTTGATACTGTTACAAAAGTTACATTTATTTTTAATACTTTTTTTTCATGTGTCAACTAACAACCGTGTGATCAATATGCAGACAAACAATGTTCTATGAGGCAATAAGAGTGCTTCCATCTGGCTCACTGACCGTGGTTTTGTCGGCGTTGACAGGAACGTCGTACATCTCATTGAGGTGGTTGTCCAGGAGGCTCTGCTGCGAATGGGCCTGGATGATCTGGCTCAGTGTTTTCCTGCTCAGCTGCTTCGGGGGCAGCGCTGGAGGTTGGCCATCAACCCCATCGGGAGACCTGAAGAAGAAGACAGAAAATGTTCATACTGCAGTAGAATAAGGGTCCTTCCACAATGGCTCTTAATAACCAGCAAAAAATTGAAGAAGAACCACTTGATGTTTTACATTTCTTAGAATTAACAAACACAGGTTTTCAAAGGTTATCCAGAAGTCAATATTTAAATTGAATTTCCATAAAAAATTACACTAAAGTAAAAATTTTTTTCATTTTTTACAGAATTTTCCATCCCACAAAAAAAAATCCATCATCTTTTTGCTCAATTTGATGTTTACCTTTATTTCAAATCCTAAAAATTGAAGTAAAACTATCAAGTTTTCCATAGCAGATATTTGTCTAAGATTATAAGTTGTTTTCAAAAAGTCGTGCAAGATTTGGAGCTCTAAAGTTTTATTTGGCTGGCCTGTAAGAAAAAAAACACTCTTTATGTTGTAAAAGTTGCAGACCCTAGCAATAAAAAAAGATAGAGGAAAAACTGAAGCATTTACAAGACATATTCTGATGTTTCTTTTGCATGATATGGTAGAACCTTTATTCACAAAACAAATTTATTTCCAAACATACTGTAAATTTGTTTAAGAGGACAGGAAAAAGAAATATAAATGAGGATGAGGAAAAAATAGACAGAAAGGGGGTAATAACTGTTTGTACCAGTGCATTAACCTCAATAAAAAGGCAGCAAGGGAAGGAAAACAAGCACCCCTCATGCTCCATCTCCATCAAGCAGACAGTAAAAGACCGTTAGTGCGCAGGGGGAAACAACATGGTCAGTCAGTTAAAGCTTTCAGCAGCGTCAAGGCTCGCTCCTTTGTGGGTTAAAAAGCCCGTCGTTTCACTCTGTGTGCGTTTCTGTGTGAGGGGGAAAAGGCTATGAACCGGCATTCCTTGGGGGAAGGGAGCATCAGTCAAAAAGCATCGCATTTGTTTTGGCTGCTGCAACTGGTGCCACTTTGTGTCTTAAACAGACGCACACAGGCTGACATTTACTACGGGTCAAAACCAGGTCAGGCTGAGACGGTGCACAGCAGGACGGAGCCGAGATGGCACGTCCACCTCCTTTACTGTGATCGCACAGACACGAGGCAGACGCACATAATGGATCTGCAAACATCTGCAAGCCTAACTAGTCATTTACTTTTCACACTTAGTGATTCAGATTCAATTGAATTCCCAAAGGGAAATTAAATGTTGTAACTCAAATCATCCAAGTTTGCATAATAAATGACACACTGCATTCATTAAAATGTAATTTTCATTACTGTTTTTTTTAATTGTTGACTGTATAGTGTCTATTGTGATTTTGTATTTTTGTGTTTTTATGATGAAAATCACTTCAAAATGCTTGTTGCTGAAATGTGCTATACCAAAAAAATTAACTGATTGATTGAATTATGTTCAAAGAATCGATACTGATGATGATGCTGTTTGCAGGAGGGATTTCTGGTAGAGCCGTTCTGCAGGTTTCACCAACTCAAATTTAAGACTTACAGCTTTTTTAAGATCTGCGTTACAATAAAAATGCACAAAAGATGACAAACTGTAAATAGTTCTGCCTTAACAAAATTTAAGACCTGTGATGAAGGCCAAAATATTTTTCTCAGTAAGTTTAAGACATTTTACAGCCTTAATTTAGATAGGCACCAATCCTTTCTTAAATTCTGCGTTGTTTAAATATGTGTTAGTTTCCCAGGTTTTACTGCCTACTTCATGTTGGCATACAGGTTCTGTTGTAGATATTTACTGATTCTACAAGTCTGGAATCATTTGTATCATTGTGAATGTGACAAAAAAATATATTAAAAATGTGAGAATTCACAAAGAAAGAAGAAATCATATCTGTTCAGAGGATTGTTAAGCAGACTGAGTTAAAACTAATCATACACCAGATTAGGAAACTGGGCATTAAGCTTTTAAAAAAAACACAATTCCTGCTGATTCAACTAAAACACAGTATAGTATTTAGATTCCTGCATTTCTGAGTGAATTGCAGAGTGAGTAACTGCTTCTCCTGCAGAGGAAATGTAGACTCTCAGTAGAGAAAATCAGGGAAAAACGTTGGGAAGATCTGGATTATAGGCTTGAGTAAAGTGGTGAACCAGGAAATCAGTCAGGATGGCAAATCTGCAGTTGCATTTTTAGTCTTTTCCATCAGGAACATAAATTGTCAGAGAGGAAAAAATGCAGCATTATAATCTGCAGCAATCAGATAGTTATTACGAAGGAAGTGGATTGGGACCAAATCTTTTCCACAGACGCTATAATGGAGCTGGTGAAAGATAGACATTAGAGCCACCGAAGCTTTAAAATATAACTAAACCTTAAACTCCTGGGAGGTTTGCAGAAATATCTGATATTAGAAAGAGCCAAAGTGGATATGAACGGATTGAAAAAGTATCATTTGTCACTGTTACGATTACCGTGCCAACAAGAGAAAAATCCTAACACAGACTGCTTATGTGGAGTTCAATCCACTCTAAATTTACCACCAACAGTGTGATATGATGCATTGCATGAACACCAGCAAGAGAATAATTAAAGGCTATGCGCTAAAGATTATTTTTTATGCAGAAAATATGGATTACAAGATCATAAAACCTGGGGAGTAGTGCAGTTGGTAGCACTGTTGCCTTGCAGCAAGAAAGTCCTGGGTTCGATTCCCGGCCCGAGTTGTTTCTGCATGGAGTTTGCATGTTCTCCCTGTGCATGTGTGGGTTCTCTCCGGGTACTCTGGCTTCCTCCCACAGCCCAAAAACATGACTGTCAGGTTAATTGGTCTCTCTAATTTCTCCCTAGGTCTGAGTGTGTGTGTGTGCATGGTTGTTTGTTTCTGTTTTTTGCCTTGCGACAGCCTGGCGACCTGTCCAGGGTGTACCGCGCCTCTCGCCTGAAACGTTCACTGGAGACAGGTACCAGCACCCCCTCCCCACCTCACTAGGGACAAAGGTGTACAAAAAAATGAATGGATGGATGAAAAAACTGGGGAATCAGTGCTGCGTGATGCAATGCCATCCAAGGTTATTTGGCCCCTGCTAAAGATGGGAAAATAAGTCTTTAAATAAATATTTTGTTAGTGCAATTAACATAATTTAACACATTCCTTTCAAAAATATTTAACAAGATTGGAAGATCAGGGAGATATATCTTTATACAGAGAGAAACAGATAACTATTTTAAACATCTAAGTCTGAGGACTAAAATGACTGTAGAAATTGCTTGATTTTGTGTCTAATCACTTCATTATTACTCTGGTCGTTTAGACAACTTATTTGCAGTTCTCTGGAAGACAGAAAGTTTGGTTTTTCCAAAAGTGAAGAATCTGACCAATTTTCAAGCACTCATAGCACACATATGTAAGTATTAATAAATATATTTAGGACAAATAGAATAAGGCTAAAGAATACATATGTACATGTTTTTGCAGCTAAATAGTTTTTTTCAGAGGAAAACAGAAAAAAAGAAGGTGCAAATATGTTTTTTGTTTTGTTTCTTTCATAGCAGAGGAGCTGAATACTCAGGCTGTTGGCTATTCATCGATCTGATGGAAGAACATGACCCTGATCTGATGGTAGACATTTGTGTCCAGCATGTGTGGGGTCTGCAGAGGTGTCAACTGCCATGTTCCTGACTCTAGATCTGTACAAGTCCATGATACCATTCATCATTTCGGGTTTTCCAGGACCTTAGGAAGAAAAATAGAGCCACACCATCACAGATCCCCCACCCTGCTCAGCAGTGGGCCTGAGTTGCTTTTCCACTTTACTATTTACACTTTGTTTCACAACTGATGCCCCTGGAGCGTTCGTAGCTAAGAAGCTCAATCTTTGACAGTTTTTACAACACAGCTGTGCTTCAAACAGTCCAGAGTTTGGTTCTTCAAATTGTCCCCTTCAAAAAAACTTTATAGGACACTATGATCAACTTGTGAAAGGAAAGTATTAAGAAAATTATGTTTCTCGTCAGTTTATTTTTTCCTAACTGGTAGAAGACCAATAATTGTGGCTCTGACACTTTGATTCAACTTCACCACTCTGAATATTGCTGCAGCTCTTTAATTCTTTACTCTCCACGTCAGACTTTAAAAACAGCAATTTGGGACCTTAAAGAACTTTACCAGATATTTTATAGTGCGTGAGCAGTCTGAGGATGAACCCAGATCTACTTAAGTTCTGTTGTTCAATCTCCTCCACCCTGCTCTGCTGCTATAAACACATTTTACGGGCTGTTTTTCCAAAGGGCTCATCTTTCCAGCGGGGCAAGCTAAGTGACACTGGGAGAGGGTGTGAACTGCTGAGAGAAGCCACAGACACCGAAAGACGTTTAAAGGGACAAAAATAAACCAGTCAGCGCAGCAGAACAGGCAGACTAGCACTGATGAGGAAAATGTAACTGCTAAATTAAAGGCTGGCTGTTCTGAGGAGATGTTTTATTTATGAAGCAGTGAAATTATGATCTAACTAATGCTCTGCCAAGTCAAAGCTGATGTTTTCCCCGAGGAGGAAGACGTTGTTTTGAAAAGAAGAAGAAAGGAAGATGGAAGGAATGGAAATATTCAAATAAGAATTATGATTAGCAAAAAAAAGTTCGACTGACGGTGTCGAGTCCAGGCTGATGCTGTTGGCCTGTGTGGACGACGCCGACTTGTGATTGGAGGAGAATACAGGTAAGCTGGGCGAAGCGTGGATCACATGATCAACCAGGTGGCCAACCGACGACGGGCGTAGCCGTGTGCCGTCTTGGACAAACAGCGAGTTCCTGGCAAAAACAAACAAAAGTGGTTTAATTTTAATATAAAGTCACTGTTGGTGCATCACAGAACCAGAAAAATTTATATTTGCCATTTTTAGATTTCTGTTCTATTGGTTTTGAATTTGAATTTAAGGTATCATGTTTATGGCACTATTGTTGCACTTTCTAGATTAGAAGTATAGCTGCGTTACCATTACAAATATGCAAAAAACTTTGTCGATGTTCCTCTAATATCAAAAATACACAATTTTGTAATTGTGGTGTTTCCATTAAATAAGAAACGCAATTAAAATTACATGCGAATAAGTTTATTCATCCAAAATGATTAAAAAACCTGCCTCGCCATAATCCTACCATTTTCTGTCATCTTATTCGTCTTTTCTGTCAGTTTTGATATTTGCCTGTTGATCATATGACTCATGCGTGTGAAAAAAGTGTTTCAATACACCTCATCTTAGCACAAAAACTTTTTAATGGGAAAACAAGAGTTGTTTTTCTAAACCAGTGAGTCACTGTATATTCAACCTAATTCATTCCATCATCTAAAACATATGCAACAACCTGTAAGGTGGCTGAGGCATGTTATTATACATCATCTCTATAAAAGAAATTGTGAAGGACTAAAATCTGTTATAACTCACTGGTTCGGTGTTCCAGGTGGTGAACGTGTGGGCAGGCTTTGGGTTTCCAGTCTCTCGTCTGATAGGCTGTTCCTGCTTACAGACTCCCAGTCGGTCCCGCCCACCAACTTCCTTGCCAATGGCTTGCTGGGAGACCTGCTCAGAAAATGTCGATTTCCAGTTAACAAAGTAAAAACAAAAGTAAAAGTGCATTTATGTCACATTTAAAGACAACTCAGCTTGCTTCCACTTTATTCACGACATCTACCGGCTAGCTTGCTTTATGATTTCTGTACTGTGTGTCCTTGGTGTAGGCAGAATGCTGTAACCGCCATTGAAAGAAAAAAAACAGAAAAAAAGCAGGCCCCTCACAGAATGAAGAATGATGAAGATGTTTCAATGTATGAATATCAGCTAGCACCTAGCTCTTTCGGTTTCAGAATCAAAACCTTTTTTTACTAATTTGTAGTAACTTTGACCACCGATGTGGACCGTATCGGTCCACACTTTGACGTCATATTTTTATTCAAAGCACAGCAGTTCTTGTGGCTCACACATTCATTTACTGAACTTTGGTCACACATACATGCAGAATCTTAGTCTCACAGAAAAAAAGAAATGAAGACCAGATCAAGGTTTACATGCAGATATAAAAAAATGCAACTTAAACTGATGAAAATAATTCTGGATCAATTGTGAAAGAGGACAATATTTCAGAGTCTGTTGCATCTGACACCGAGTATATAACTATGCATCACTAAAAAGTAAATTTAATGTAGCCATTCAAATCAAAACATGAAAGTCAAATTTTTTAGAGTCACTGCAGATAGAGAGGCACAGCTCATTCTTTATTTCTCCAAAAACCCAAACCCAGTTCTGTTTCTCCAAACATTACCAATAAAAAGAGATTTTTAAAACAGAAATGTTATTTTATGGCCACATTATGGTGAAGACTGCTGACTTGACAGTCACTGGTACTTTAAAAAAAATGGTTAAGCCACAAAAGCTTATTGCTAAATAAGGAGCTTGTTCATGGCATGCTGCATCTAAGCTGAGATGCTTATGTAAAGGTGGCTGTAGCTAATTAATTTGGGAAATTGTATCATGAAACACTTTTGAGGAGTGTCGATTTCCAGTTTCCAGTTTCTGTGGGAAGTTTGAGGTCAATGTCCTCAAACTTCCCACAGATTTCAACACAACTGCATCTTTAAAAGCTATAAAAGGAGAACAAAGCCTCACAATTTCCAGGAACCGACAGACTGAAATATTTATCTCAAACTCAGTCTGTGCCTAAATGTGTTGATGATGTTTGACTAGAGATGGAAAATACCAGGAAGCAATACTAGAGATGATTGGTGTATATTTAAAAAAAAGTCTGATGAATCCCAAACAACTATCTAAGGGAAAGGTGTGCTGGTTAAAGTCTTAGCACATTAAGGCACCAGGGAGTCAAATTGATGCCCTTTTGGCTGAAATACAAACATTGATCGATTGAGTCATGTTGATTATTGAGTGGATTGATGAGTCGTTAATAAATGCAGGCTATCAGAATTTGCCCACAAAGCAAAAGTGAGTACAGTGGAGTCAAGTTGAGTCAAAATGGAAGAGGAAATTAGGCTACTTCCATCTAACCACAAAGGACAGAAGGTTTTTACTACCTGGCAAAAACTCTGTCCTTGATCCCTTTCTCCTTTCCATACTGCACAGATTGCACTTCTGTCCGCCCACTGAAGAGAAAAATAAGGAAAACAACAGTTAATAACGTGATTTAAATACTTAATATGGCTATTGTTCACTTTTCCCACAGTGAAATTTAAGCACTTTTCAAGCATTTTCAAGGTAAGTCATCAAACTTTTCCAGTACCACACTTTGGAGTTAAAAACAATAAAAAGAACTTAAGAAAAGACATTTTATCGCTGTTATCAATAGTGTGGTTTTTTTGTACAGCCAAAATAAAAACAACACTTAACTGTTCCAAGAAAACAGCTGTTTTTTTCTTGGAACAAAAAAAAAGCACCCCAATTTTATTAAATTGTTTTAACATATACATTATAAGCCAACTGTTAATTCAATTACATAGATCAATAAGTAACTGAGCCATTAGGACTAATAAATATTCATTATATTGAAGCAATCCAAACAAATCATATGAAGGTAAATGGCCTTCTTGCTCAAATTAAATGTTTACACATTATATACAAAGAAAATTACCCCAAAAAATTTCTATAAACCTTTCACTGAAAATTTTCTGGTATTTAACAGAAAATATTTTTTTGTAATTCTAAGTAACCTAAAAGTAGAAAAGTTTGATATGATTTAACTTCAGTCGGTGGGAAAAAAAGATACAAAATAAAAACTATCTTTTTATGTTGTGTGAAAAAAATTTCTGAACTTCAAATGTTTTTCCAAATTTAGGCTTTTCATCAAGCGTTAGATTATACATCATTACAAAATGTGGGTATATCCTTGAAATACCCAGTTCCCATAAATCAGAAAACACAGTAGTGAAGATGGCTTCCCTGACAGCCAGTGTCAGGTTTTTAAGAACTATAAAAACAAAAGAGAATTTAGTTTTGCAAGTCCTATTTCCTCAGTTCTAAAATCTGTATTAAACCAAAGTCACGTCATAATAGAAAAACAGAAGTGATTCCAAAAATGGTCTTTATAGGAAAGTGTGGAGATACCTTGAGGGCAAAAACACATTTGAGCCAAACATCAGACAAGGCTCGCTCACGTTGCATCACTGCTACTCAATAATAGATCACAAAGCTCCCTTCATTTTTCACAACCGCCTTTCATAGAAAAGGGAACTGAAAAAGGTTAGCTGTGAAATGAAACAGAGTTCGCATGGGGTGAATTTACTGTGGGGATAAAAGACACATTTCTAATGAGATCTATCTGAAGGGTGCAGAGGTATCAGTGTTAGTCTGTAAACTTTATCACAAGTCGAAATTTTCAAAGAAAATGGAGAACAATGTTTGGACCAAAGAGAAATGACAGGGGAAGAAATGCTCCTCCAGGAGAACATGTTGGGATGGTCTTCTTACCAGTATCTAAACTTTGAGCCAAGGCTGAAGTAGTGAGCGAAGAAGTTTTTCTGTGGGGGGATGGGCCGCTCCAGCCTGAAAAAGGTGTGATGCTCCACGCAGGCCTTCCACAAATTCTTACAGGCCCGGTAGTTGACCATGTTGAAGCCCAGGAGTGTCTCCCGAGTCTCTGCCTGCACACAGGAAGAAACAGAGCAGCTTATGGAGGGCTGAGGCAAATGAATGGATGGATGGATGGCCTAAGAAAAGTCAGGGGGATGGGCGGAGTAGCGAATAGCCAAACGAATTGATGATGGATAGAAGAATTGACTGATAGCCAAACAAATGGCTGGATGGATGCATGATGAATGAATGATGAATGCAAGATGGATGGATGATGGATGCAAGATGAACAAATGTAAGATGGATGGATGATGAAAAGATGATGGATGCAAGACAGATGCATGCATAAACTAACAAATAATCAAATGGATGGCCAGATGGATGTATGATGAAGTTAAGATGGATGGATGATGGACGCCTAATGAATGGACAACTAATTGGTTTGGATGGATGGATAAATAATGGGATGAAGTAAGAAATTCCAAATATTTTTCATCCTCCATTTTATTACCCAGAAAAAAATTAAAACAAATTGTACACATTTAAAACTGCATATTACCTTTGTTATGAAAACCATACCTCATGAATATTTAATAAAAGTTATCTCAACAGATTTTCTTTTTAAAGTTCACATGCTTCCAAGGCAACATCAGACTTTGGAAAGACAGAGAAACCAGTGACAGGACAGTAAACATTAAATCAAAATCAAATCAAATTTTATTTGTATAGCTCATTTCAGCAAGGCATTTCAAAGTGCTTTACATCACTGCTACATCAAAGTGCTTTACATGTTGCTTTACAACATTAGCAGTTAGCAGCACACAGTGTTTCATTTTTTTTCCTAATCTTAACCTCTAATTTGTCCAATTCCGTATAATAGCCTGAAACGTAACAAGGGCAAAAGACTTTTAATCTTTCTCTACAGATGTGCTAAGGCTTGTTTCTGTTGTAGTACTCCGCTTTTATATCTCGTCCTTATATGGAAGCACAGATGCATAAAGCATTACCCTTTAAAGCTTGTCACAGCATCACAACACTTTTAAAATTAGAAACTACTTTAAAAATATTTAGAAGCTACGTAGTGAGTTATTTATGTTGCTACAATTAAGCTTTGTAAGTTTTCAGCCATCAAAATATTACTAAAATGCTCTTGTAACAGAATTGGTTTAAAGAACATAAAAAATTGTTGTACAGTGAGTAAAAGGCTGAAAGAAAACAAAGAGATTTAAATGTGAAACAAAGGATTTACTCAGGGGATTAATGCATGTTAGGACAAAGTCAGCAGGGGGTTAATCTGACACCTGATTACACAAATGGATACAGATGCAGAACAGTTGAAATGCTGCACCTTTATAAAGGTAGGTTCATACAGCTGACCCAATCAAAAACAGTGTCTCAACTACAGCTGCTTCATTACTGAGCAGTGGGTAAGAAAATATGGTCTAGAGGTGTGTATGTGTTTGTGTGAGGGTGTGAGCATGTTTGTATGTCTACACCCACCGCTTCTCTTCTCAGCTGGATGAAAAACTGTTTGCACTTGAAGGAAATTTTCACTATTTTCAACCTAGAAGTTGGAAAAGGAAACAATACAAAGTCAGTTGTTGTCTTTAATCATATAAATATCACATGTTTAAAACAAGATGGAGAAGTTTGTTCATTTGTGAGGTCAGACACTGATGTTGGACGAGAAGGCCTGGCTCGCTGTCTTCGTTCTAACTCATTCCAAACTTGCTCTATCAGGTAGGGGTCAGACCTATCAAGTTCTTTCCTACCAACCTCCCTCATTCAGGTGATTGTGGACCTTACAGTGGTGTATTGTCATCCTGGAACAACAGGAGATAAATCCCTAACCCACATGGTTGACAGTATGAAATTACCCCAAATGACTCGGTATGATGAAAGACAAGAGTTTATTTTCTTAAAACCGTAATTCTCTCAGCACCAGACATTACACCATCCTTTTGGCAGTTCCCAAATTCTTCCACTGAAATGTAAGACAGAGAGGTACGATTTGTCACTCCAAAGAACATGTCTCTCTAGCTCTAGAGTTCAGTGGAATATTACTCCCCATAAATATTTCCATTATTTATGGAAATAATTACTTACTGTTAATATGGAAAGTAATATAATGGAACAATACTGTTCTGGTAATCTCAAGAACAGTGAGTTATTCTTACTGTTCTTGAGATAATCTGAAAGCCACATGAAGCATGGAGAGTTGTGGGTACTGTTTTCCCTCAGCATCCACTGACTGCCCCAACAGAAGGAAGACCAAGGCAAGACAAGAAAAACAGTTATATAGATACCATCTGTGCAATTTTAATTAACAAGTTGATGAATTCCAATAAATAATTGAACTCTACCACTCGTATTGCCCTTATCTTCCTTTATGCACCATCAATTTTCCGTACGCTGTTTCAGATGGTTAATTCATGGGTGTAGTGAAGGTGGGATGGAAAATTGGTGGTGTGAAAAGGTCAGGCAATAAAGTGTTTGCTTCACCATGATGAGTACAAGAACGGCAATAAGGGGGTTGTTGAGGGTGACACGGGAGTGGGGCTTAATCTATGGAGTAGATATCACCCTAATCAACCCTATCACCCTAATCAACCCTAAGAGTTGATTAGGGTGATAAGAGGGTTGAATTATTATGATAAGGGGTGGGTCTCAATATCACAAGTAAAATGATGGGGATAAGGAGGCCAATAAGGGTGATATGGGGTCAGTTTTAATCTGTGCAGTATGATAAGGGTGATAAGGGTTTGGGGTTCAATCTGTGGAGCATGATAAGGATATTTGGGGTTTAATATATACTGTACAATAAGGACAATAAATGCTGGATTTCAATAATTTATCTGGGTAATATCTGGGTAATGTCATCTTGTGAATTAAAAATTGACAGATGGTGTATATATATATATATATATATCTATATATATATATATATATATATATATATATATATATATATATATATATATATATATATATATTATATATATACAGTTAGGGCCAGAAATATTTGGACAGTGACACAGGTATTGTTATTTTAGCTGTTGACAAAAATATCTTCAGAAATACAATTTATATATAATATGGGCTGAAAGTGCACACTCCCAGCTGCAATATGAGAGTTTCCACATCCAAATCGGAGAAAGGGTTTAGGAATCATAGCTCTGTAATGCAGAGCCTCCTCTTTTTCAAGGGACCAAAAGTAATTGGACAATGGACTCCAAAGGCTGCAAGTAACTCAAAAGGCCTTTCCCTCGTTAACCTGTAATCAATTAAGTAGTTAAAAGGTCTGGGGTTGTTTCCAGCTGTGTGGTTTTGCATTTGGAAGCTGTTGCTGTGACCAGACAACATGCGGTCAAAGGAGCTCTCAATTGAGGTGAAGCAGAACATCCTGAGGCTTAAAAAAAAGAAAAAATCCATCAGAGAGATAGCAGACATGCTTGGAGTAGCAAAATCAACATTCGGGTGCATTCTGAGGAAAAAGGAATTGACTGGTGAGCTTGGGAACTCAAAAAAGCCTGGGCATCCACGGAAGTCAACAGTGGTGGATGATCGCCGCATACTTTCTTTGGTGAAGAAGGACCCATTCACAACATCAACTGAGGTCCAGAACACTCTCAGAGAAGTAGGTGTATCTGTCTCTAAGTCAACAGTAAAGAGAAGACTCCATGAAAGCAAATACAAAGGGTTCACATGTAGATGCAAACCATTCATCAATTCCAAAAATAGACAGGCCAGAGTTAAATTTGCCCAAAATCACCTCAAGAAGCCAGCCCAGTTCTGGAAAAGTATTCTATGGACAGATGAGACAAAGATCAACCTGTACCAGAATGATGGGAAGAAAAAAGTTTGGAGAAGAAAGGGAACGGCACATGATCCAAGGCACACCACATCCTCTGTAAAACATGGTGGAGGCAACGTGATGGCATGGGCATGCATGGCTTTCAATGGCACTGGGTCACTTGTGTTTATTGATGACATAACAGCAGACAAGAGTAGCCGGATGAATTCTGAAGTGTACCGGGATATACTGTCAGCCCAGATTCAGCCAAATGCTGCAAAGTTGATCGGACGGCGCTTCACAGTACAGATGGATAATGACCCCAAGCATACAGCCAAAGCTACCCAGGAGTTCATGAGAGCAAAAAGGTGGAATATTCTGCAATGGCCAAGTCAATCACCAGATCTTAACCCAATTGAGCATGCATTTCACTTGCTCAAATCCAGACTTCAGACGGAAAGATCCACTAACAAGCAAGACCTGAAGGCTGCGGCTGTAAAGGCCTGGCAAAGCATTAAGAAGGAGGAAACCCAGCGTTTGGTGATGTCCATGGGTTCCAGACTTAAGGCAGTGATTGCCTCCAAAGGATTCGCAACAAAATATTGAGAAAAAACTTTTTTGTTTGGGTTATGTTTATATGTCCAATTACTTTTGAGCTCCTAAAATGTGGAGTGTTTGTAAACAAATGTGTACAATTCCTACATTTTCTATCAGATATTTTTGTTCAACCCTTTAAATTAAACGTTACAATCTGCACTTGAATTCTGTTGTAGAGGTTTCATTTCAAATCCAATGCGGTGGCATGCAGAGCCCAACTCACAAATATTGTGTTACTGTCCAAATATTTCTGGCCCTAACTGTATATCTATATATATATATCTATCTATCTATATATATATAGATAGATAGATATATATATATATATTAGGTTTCTGTAAGGCAAAGCGAGGTCGACAAAATAAAGTGAATAAAGGCCTGACTTTAAAGCCCAGGGAAAATAATCCCAGACTTGACTATTACTTTCTTTGCTTATTTCACCAAGAGAATCCTGAAATTAATTTTATCACACCGACATAGTGTGTTAGAATCCCGTGACTTCCTCTGCGATTTTTCCTCGTGTTCTCAGACTTTAGAGTGCCCACTTTGTAAATGACATGGAGAAAGATTTGAGGAAAACCTCATGGCACAATTTTCTCAGAGATTGTGGTCTTTCCCCAAAACCGAACACACGAACAGCCGGTGAACAGAATAAAGTCTGGTTATTGTGAGACATAGTTGTAATATATGTCTTTTAAAGATAATGCTCAAACAAAAGTACATTTTAATAAACAGCTTCTTGCAATTTTATACATACAGTAAGTCATGTTTTATAACAAAGGTGAGGACTATTGTGTCATATTACACATCCATAATGTTCAAATGACCGCCTGCCTTTCTCTATAGGTGTAGGGTTAGAAGCTCGTCAGAACAGAGGAGCCTTGAAGTGGTACGACGGCATGTATTTTCCAATCTCACGTAGGAGCAAGGGCATAAATTATGCTAAAATCAGAGGACCACACGCGAGGCAGCAGTAAGTCGGCTGCTGATGAGCGGCAGAAGCAAAGTAACATAATCCCTTCCCAGAGTTCTGCTGCTGCTTCTGCTGCTGTGACTCATCGCTCTCTGCTAAATATATTTTACACACTCACTCGCGCACACACACTTGCATTGGCAACAACAGCACACACTTAAGCAGAGCGTGAGTCATGCCCCATCCAAATGTGGCTAATTTGTCAGGCTGTTGCAAACAGAAATGGGAAACAAGGCAAAAATCTAAATGTCTTTCTGCTGCCGACTTGCTCCCTATTTTTATTCTCAACTTTCAAACAGAAAGGAAAGACACTAAAAAATATGAAGTAACAGGACATTAGCAGTGAGCTAATAAGAGGGTAAAGAAAGAATGAGTTACAGAAAGTCAGTCAGAGTAAAGCTCAGAGACAGTGACTGTGAGTATGTTTCGCCGTTTCTGTCTTAAGGACACGGTGCTGAACAGCTGCTGAGGACGCCACTGTTGGTCTCTAAATTTAACTCATCTGGGGCGGATAAACTTAGGAGGCCTCGGCTTTGATTTAAACCTTTTGCATTTAAATGTCGTCACTACGATAAAACAGAAAGGCTGAAATTAGAAGACAGGTGTGTCACAATTTACACCATCATCGAATCGCTGATTTATTTTGACAATTCAATTCAAAATGTGAAAGTTACAGTATTATAGACTCATGAACTTATTTCTGTTACGGTTATGGTTCAGTTCAGAAAAATGATTTTAAATATAGACTTCTTCTATTATGGACTACACTATTTTGGAGATGGCTGCTGACTCCCCCTCCGCATAGAGGGGGAGTCACAAAAGGTCATTGCTAATGAAGCTGATGAATCCAACTATATTAATGGAAACACAATTTCAAATTTAAGTCTTTTTAAGGCCTTTCAGAACATTTATGAAAGACATTTAAGACCGGTATTATGACAGAAATGTGCAAAAGAAAGCTGCACGTTTTATACATTAGTGGAACCACCAAACTTTTTGGTGTAGACATATATATGGATTAGCAGCAGAAGTTAGCCATTGGTGCAGATGAATGTCATCCAGCCAAATTTATAATTACCAATGATAGAGCTAGCTAGCTAGCAAAGGTATAGTAGCTTTGAATGCCTGAAGTACACATGCACAAATCCATGCAAACTTAGCTCCAACCACCTATTGAGTGTGTAGAGTAAATACTGTCTGACAGTTTCATATCATAAATAATGTTTTATTTGTGTAAATCTCTGAGATACAAAATTTTGGACTTCAATAAACTATAATGATCAAATTTAACAAAATGAAATGCTTGAAATGTAGCATTTTCTGTTTAACAAATTATTAAGATATGGCAGGTTCACCTTATCAACTGAATAAACTTCTCAATTATGTATCACAACTCATTCATAGACGCAAGAGTTTGTATAATCATTCAGAGTGAATAATGTTTCTCTTTTATCCTCTGCACACAGTAACAACTATTCTCCTCAACATGCATCAGCAGATTTCCAAGTACTGATTCACCAGAGAACAAGACACAACGAGTGATAAGAGGAACTAACAGCAGAAAAGAGGTCAGTGAGGGCAAACAGATTTGATGTAATGTTTCCAGGAAGCACAGTTTAACACCAGGACACTGCTATGAAAAATAAAAAATAGTGAACTGCATTATTCTGCAAAAGTTCAAGAGAGGCTTAGATATAAACATTCACTGTCAATAATCATCATGTGAGAGATTTTGAAATACTATGCCAGCCAGTTCTCTGTAAAACTCTTTCTGGACGCAGCTCAACTGAAGCTGGCAGCAGGCCGATTAGAGGCAGGTTTGTAACAAGGACATCCACAGTTTGAACTTCCACTTCAGTGGAAATGACAAAGAACATAAATATCAACAAAGAACACTTGTTTCAACAGTGAAAGAGCTTCTCAGCTGTGTTTCCTGTCCACACAAATTCACTCACTTCCATCTGATAGCTGCCAGGTTTTCTGCTGGCCAAAGAGGACACACGCTTTTAAGCACTTGGCTTTGGACAAGCGGGATATTGGCCTCTGAGCAGTTGGAATTAAAATCTTTGATCGTAAAACTTCTGAACAGTATCTCTGTAACATATGTTTGCTTTCAGGTACAGAAGCCAGTTGAAAAAAAAAGTTAAAACGGGGATTAGTAGTTCTTCCTGATTACACACCGACCAAAACATCTAGGATCAGTATAATTAGTCGCTTTGCTAAAAGGATGCAGGTCATAAAGAAACTTTCCTTTTTTTTTGTTTAGCTTTGCTCAGCTGTCTCTTATTTAGCCAGCTTCAATTTCACTTTTTAAGAATATTATCTTAATTGGTAATTAAGAGTAGCTTTATAGGATTTTTGAATAGTAGGAATATTATTTTGTTAGAATATCTACCATATCTTTTGTGTCTCCTAGGATTTATAAATATTTATGTCAGATTCTTTAAAGGCTGCCAAAATTAAACCAGGATTTTATGAGTCTAGTTCTGCGTTTAAACCACCCGAATGAATGGACGGCAAACATGCCTCTGTAGGAAAAGAAGTTTACTTTCTAAGCTTCCATCTTTTGTGCTCCTCCTTAAAAGAAGCAGTAAAATTATCCCAGATTGAATCTTGTCTCACACTTAGCATTTAGGAATTGCAGATAAATTCATGAGAAAAATTCAGGCATTGAGATAATCAATTAGAGATGAGCAAGTTGAAAAATGTAGTTTGTCACTGCACCAAACCGCAGGTTATAAAGATAACCCAAGAATCGAATAACATGCAGAAGAGAAAAAAGCAATTAAGTCGTTTTTTCTAAAGAAACAGCAATTGTTTCCATACTTTGAATAGTTTATCTCTCAGTTACCACAAAGATACAAAAACTGCAAAGAGAAATGCCTTTGTCTCTCTTTTTTGCTTATTTTCTTCTTCTCCTCTGAGCAGACTACAAACCAGCATGTTATAAACCTTTGAGGAGGTTGCAGTGAAACTGACCCAAATATAACATGAAAACATGTCATCTGAATTCAAACAGAAATGCATCTAAGTTGTGCACAACTACATCTGATATGAATATACCTCATTGATGATTATAGAAATTAAACTGGAAGAAGGTTGTGGCACTTAAGGCCACTTAATTTAATGCATAGTTCAGTATTACTCTGCAGTTTTTCATTTTAAAATCTGATGCTTTCTAGATTCAAATTTCTAACTTCATTTTTGGTCATTTTTAACATCCAAACACAAATCTTACAGCAGATATTTCCAGTAGTCAGCTTTAATTATACACTGTCTGCATTAAAATACTCACACCCGCTAACTTCTGCTGATTTCAGGTGTTTCACTCAAACCCATTGCCACAAGTGCGTGAAATCATAATCACGTTGTGCTTCCAGATTTCTGACAACACAATGAGAATGTGAAGAATGTAAAGACAAGCTTTGATAGGTCCAGGGTGGCGCGCACCGAGCCTTGACCTCGACCTCAACCAGGACCTTTGGAATGAAAGCCAGCAGGAAAAGCGACCCAGACCTTCTCATCTCTAAATGACCTCATGAAGACTCAACAACATAAACAGCCAGTTTATGTTGTTATTCATGCTCCAAAATCCTGTGAAAAGCTGTAATACTAGAGGAAAGACATGCATCTAGAGGGAAAGTTGTGGGGATTTGCACCCTGATAAGCTAATGACTATTAAACACTAAATTACTAGCGCTTCATTTTTAAGTGACTTATTTTTGTTTAAAGTCTTCAGTGTTTAATGTTTCATACAATGGAGTGCGATGGCCAGACAAAAATATTTTTTTATTTTTTGGAGTTACGATACTGCAAGACACCAAATCATCAGGAAAAAAGTTGTTAAAATACTAAAAAAAAGTTTTTATTAGTGCAAAGCTTCAATAATTATCCAGATCTAATTTGACTATTTTAGTCCTGATTCTTTCTTCCAAATTTACAAAGTAGTTTGCGTATCTGTTTCAAACTCTTGCAACTGACACTAATTTGATGCTGATGTGTTGAAAGATTTGTAAAACTCATACCAACGAATAACTTCACAAGATGCTCAACATTTCTCATTTAAAAATTTAATTTTTTCAGTTGGGTGTTTTATAAAATGACAATTTCAATCTACAAATATTATAACATTGATCTGGCAATATTATAACCTATATTTTTGTTTCATTACGACTTTTTTCTAGTATTAAGACTTTATACATGCATCAATAAAATTTTGCTCTCATTATAGTTTCATTTAATTCTCTTAATTCTTTTTTCTTTTCTTTATTATGAAGTTTTATCATTTTTGTTCTTAGTCTGGCCCTAATAGTTTTCTATGTGTTTGGAAGCTAAGTAAATATGCTGACCATGTGAAAACATATAAATAAACTGATGTCAATGTCACTGTGATATGTAACTTCAGAAGCTTGTGTTCAGTTTGTGTTTCACTCACCATGGGAAGTAGTTGATCCGTACCCTGTTCTTGTAAACCACAATGCCAGCGGACATCACCCCAATCAGAATCTCTGCGTTGCTCTGGTCCTAAACAGAAAAGATTTGCATGATGAATAGAGGAAATAATAAAACCAGAGCTGAACCAGAGAAAATATGTATATATATATATTGTTTATGTCAAATTTGGATTTTCACCATCCATGTTCAAACTCACGGGTCAGATTTTCCGAATCATTTTGGTAATGTGAAGATGTAAATGCAGACATATTATTTATTTTAAAAAATTGGAAACCATGTATAATTTTCTTGTCATTTCACAATTACTTTGAGTCACTTAAACCCCAATAAACTAAGTTGACGTTTGTGGAGGAAGCATGACAAAATGCAGAAATGTTCAATGGTATTCATCAGCTGAACCTACACATTTACCCATAACAGAAAACACATAAAAACTGACAAAAAGAAAGAAACACGATGGTTTCAACTCGAAGGTAATGAAAAGGTTTGCGGGCAACAAACAGAACAGATGAAACCATTCCTGATAGCTTTCAGATCCCTCAGGACTGGCTAGTCAAAAGTGGATCCCATTAGCTCACTTGCTTTCAGCTGAAGCTTAAAAACTAAGACTAAAAACTGTATTTATAGAGGAAAATGTATTTAGAATTTTTGGAAAACAGAAGAGATGGACTCAAAACAAAGAAAGTTGTATCAGATCTATAAAAAAGGAAATCCCAGACAAAAGAAACAGATTTTTTGGTCTTACGGAAGATTATCAAGATGGGAGAAATTATATTAGCTAAATATCCTTGATACGGACTAAACTCTACATATAGTCTGATCAGTTATTATGGATAACATAAGTGGTGCAAATGACTCCTACTAAAAATGAAATTAATCTATGCCGTTTCTCCTACTAAATGTGTAAAATTGTGTAAAAAAAAAAAAGACTAATTTGATTCAATTTTTAAGATGAATGCTAAACATGTCTCTTGTGAGCACTTGATCATATTTTTTATCTCAGCACTGTTCAGCTGAATCCATACTGTTTATCCAACAGCTTATCTCTTCATATTTCCCCCCCACATCATGACATTATGGCTGATGGTACATTGCTCTAATTTCTGTCATGTGGATTCACTCTATAGAATGAGCAGGAAATGACAAGATGAAAGCACCATTCATCCTTAGAGTGGGTGTTACATAACAAATCTTTAATCTTTTTTCTTTTTATCATTCTACATCTATCCAGCGGATGTGAAAAGAACGACGGTTTCAGGATTCTGCTTTTAAGATGAGAAGGTATCAATGTAAACAATGAAACTAATGGTTTCGTTTCCAGCTGCAGAGCTTCTCGCCTCTGCAACTGGTGGCAACGTTCAAGCTACACAAATCTTAAGTTGGCATAAACATATAGAAACATACGCAGGAAATAACAGACATGGAATTAAACCTTACTCACCCTTGCATAGTGCAGCTCCACCCCGTAGAGCTCCAGCGAGCGTGCTGTGTTCAGATAATTAAACTCCGACTGGGCAGGAGATAGACCGCTGAGAGAGGGAGGAGGGGACAGAGACAGATGGGGACGAGAGCGTAGCGGTGAGTGCAAAGGGAGCGTCGATGACAGGGTGGCAGAGGGAGAAGGAGACAAAAGAAAACGAAATCATCAGCTCCAGATGAATGGAAGTAATTGCAAGAAAAGGGGTCAAGTAAAGGGCAACGCAAAAGGTGTGTTGGTGTGTGAATCTGTGTATGCCGGAACAGACTGGACTATGCTACTGTAGGTGTGGATATTTCAAAAGATTACCAGCAGATCAAAATGTGATGCACATGAAAGGGGAAAGTTATTTATGGCTGATCTGTTTACTATGTACATTTTAAAATTCCAGGCAAATTTTAAGAGCATGGATGGATGGACGGACCAACAATTTTTTGTATGGATGAATGAATGGAAATATTTATCAATACTCCAATCTTTTTTCCAGAACTGTGAAATGCTAAAACAAAATATTTAAGACATTTTCATGTAACATAGAAACTTTAATCTGATCTGGATTTGAAAACGCATCTTTCCCACCACAGAGTCTATTCCCGCTGTCTCTCTTTGTTCACACATAATCCGATCTGAGTGGCGGCCATCAACTCTGCAGCGAGCGGCTCGGTGTACCTGTGCTGCTGGTGATGTTTGGAGACCTCTTTGTGGAAGTCTTGTGGGGGGTTGGAGATGAAGCAGAAGTCGGACAGGTAGCCGGAAGAATGCTCTGCTTCATTGTAGTCCCCCAACTCGGCTGCAGGAAGAGAGAGGAGGAAAAAAGACCAATATGTGACTTTAATAAAAGAAAACCAGAATGACTCATAACAAATGATCTTCATTGTATATGCTTGTTAGAAAATGACTGGTTAATTTTTTCTGGAAAATCATTGCCTAATTTTAAGACAACCACTATACCTCATCATGTTCCACCTTTTGTTTTTACTGGTAAGAAAACATAAATCATAATAGAAAAATTATGATTTATGTTTCGTTTTATCGTATTTTCAACTGAAAAAAATCTTTTATTAATTTATCAACTAATAAAAACCAAACAAATTGACTTACTCGCACCTTATTTGTTGAAAAAAAAAAATCTCTAATCTTCAATGTCTGCTTAAAGTGAAGCAATTTCACCCAGAGAACAGTACAAAAACTGTCGCTATGGCATTTTTAAAATTTTAACATCAGCACCAAACCACAGCTGAACTTTGTTACATCTGTGAATCTTTCTGTAATCCACTCAGTGGTGTCAGCAGTTTACACAGAAACAGTGCACAGATAAAGAAGAAGTCCTTTCATAACTTCACCCCACATTTTCTGAGAATATGGCCTGCATTATCAAAAAAGGAACTGCATGTGTCATTAAAACCACAATGCAAGTAGGATTAAGGCAGTGTGATAGCATCAAACGATTGAAATCTTACACAGCTATGATCAGATGCTTTTGACCTTTCATGTGAATCTTATCTAGGGTGCAACAGGGGTGTTCAAAACGTGGCCTCTGGGCCATTTGTGGTCCAAGATTTTGTTTGGCCCCTGACTGCAAGTCAAAACCAGTAAAACTTTTGCCAAGAAAATAGGAAACAATTCAAAAATTTGGAAATCGTCTGTTTTTGTTTTAAAATGGCAACAGTCCTGAATCTTTTTTGTTTTAGATCTTTAATAATATACACATTTCATTAAAAATGTTTTCATTATTAATGGGTTAAACTAAAAAGAACAAAAAATTCACAAACTAATTTTTAAATGAATTCATTTTGTGGCCCGCCACTCGTTTAAACAAACCAGTTTTGACCCATTTTGGACTGTGGTAATCTAAGACGCATGTAACAAAAAGTCATTAGGAGCCATTTCTAAACAACTGGAAATTCCCCAACGATTTGTCGAAACAATTAGACATTTCATTACTTTGTGAATTTTAGCAGTTAAAATGACACAGTTTTCTGTTTAATTTTAACTGCTAAAGCCAATTAAAGTTCCTAAATACTATAAATGTGGTCTAATGCATTGTCTTTCCTCTCAAAAAAACAATGGGAACGCACTATGTGGTATAATGTATTTTACAACATGACATCCATCGACAGAAGAATTTAGACCTGCCTTTATTGTTGTGGGACGTTCTTTTAATAAAAAAGTTTTATTAAAGAAACAATTTAACTGTCTCAGACAAAGAGAAGGAAACCCGATGGTATCAACTCGAAGATAATGAAAAGGTTTGCGGGCAACAAACGGAACGAATTAAAAGACTCCTGATAGCTTTCAGAACCCTTAGGGTTTACCAGCCAAAAGTGGATCCCATTAGCCCACTTGCTTTCAGCTGAAGCTTTAAAACATCAATTCGCTCAAGTAGTCCCTTGACTGACCTGCAGGCCGGTAGCCTAAGCATATTGACCAACAAATCAATGGCAGCTCAGACGCTCATTGATGCGTACACACAACCAGGGCTCTGCACAGTTCAGCGTCAACATGAAAACAGCTAACAGGTGAGGAGAAGAACACTGTAGTCGTGATGGCATCTGCCAAAATCTGATTTATAATGTGAGGTCTTTTTTATTAAAGTAGTAGGTTTTTTCTTGTTGTTTTAGCTGTAAAGTTGTTTTGGTTTTTTTTTTTCTGAAAGGGGCTGGTGAAGGTTTAATGCTACTTGCAATGATGGGAAAAAGCTAAAAGAAAAAATAAATGCAAAAGAAGAAATAATTTATCTCTGTGGCAGATAAATAAATCATAAAATTTAAAAGCAAACAGCCAATCAACAGCATTTCTGCAGTTTATTCCAGTTGAGAGAGGGAGACTACAAACTTCGGTAAAGTTGTTCTTTATTCATTCAAGGTTCAAACTTATGTCTACAAATATTAATTTTAAAACTTAAAACTTTTTCAGACTCAGATTTCCATGGCTCAGTCACTATTTTACACATTTTTAGAATGTTTACAATAAAGACATTGCACATATTTCTACATATGAAATTACCAAAAAAAAACAAAATGAATGACGCATGAAAATCAACTAAAGTCAATACTGAAAGGTCTAAATGTTAAAAACCTTAAATCAAAAACTGAAAAACAGGAATTCTGAACTTTGCACATATAAAAATAAATCAAAATCTAATTTTGCACACATCAGTAAGTAGTATACAAATATATTCTATCTGCTTCAACCACTGTTAGAATAAACCAGACGGTGAAACCACTGAAAACAGCCACTTCAAGTGCAAGCTTGAAATAAAATACAAAAACAGGAGGGATAAAACACAGCTAAACCATATTTTATTCCCCTTTACCAAGACATTTACAATGTTGAGGGAAGGTGTATTTTTTTTCTACAGCTTTTCAGTCAATCATAAAACAGGAATTTAGGATTTAGGAATTTAGGAAAAGATTTCAGATCTTTTCAGAATGCAAGCTTGAGTGAGAGATTTGGAGTCAGCAGTGCTGGCAGTCGAGCTGAATTAGCAGCATAGCAGCTGCTTCAAGCCATTTTTTTTCCTCCCCAAAGCAAACATTTATCTCCATAATCTGTGCTGGCACTGTGAAGAGTGACAGCATGGACCCAGCAACACAGTATGTGTGTGTCAGTGTAAAAGCCGTAGGGTCAGAGCCACGAAGGTCTAGGTCAACTCTCTTGTTTGACCTATATACTGAGGCTGTGCAGATTCCTGGCTAAATATGCCATAGAGGGGGAGAGCAGAGGGACTGGAGGGGGGAGGAGTTACTAGAGCTAAAATGACCAAATGAAACAAGACACTAGGCAAAAGGCATCAATGCAATAAGCAAAAATTTAAGAAATATCAATAAGATTAGCTCCTGAAATCTATTAATATAAACTAATTTCTAGTTTCACACTGACATTTCCAATAATAAGATGACAACAATGTGAACAAGCTTCTCAAAGAGATGCATTTTTGACATTTTAACCATTTGTGAGCTACTGAGAAATACTCCAAATTAATTTTTTAAAGAAAGTTTCTGTTTAGAAGAAAGAAAACACTTAATTTCACTCAAAAGACGTGTTTGAAAAATAGTAAATATGGCAAATATGACAAATTGTGAAATCAAAGAAAAATGTTAGGGCGGTCCATGATTTTTGTCTCTATACCAATGACTAGGTTTTTCAGACACATACTGTACAGTTAAGCTCAAAATTATTTATTATTTGGATTTAGAGGAATCTATGTTCCTTCTGACTGGAAGTAATATTAGCATTTCGGAGTGGAGCCAATCTTCAATCTGATAGAGAAACTATCAGATTGAACATTAGGCAGCTAAACATTAGGGTGATGGCAAGGAGACCTTCCAACATACAGCTCATCACCAAAGATAAATAAATGCTAAAGAGTCAAAATTGTAATTTATCTGTTCATCAATAGATAAAAAAACAAAAACAAATGCACATTAAGCTGGAAATATGAAGAGAGACTGAACATCAACTCAGCAGTTAGCCAAACTACGCGCCTATCGATCTGCTTCTCTCCATCAATCTATTATTAAAGGTCGACTTTAGAGAAAACCAGTATCGCATGCAATATTTATGTAACCGATAGTAATATAGAAACCCATCCCACCACATAGTTTTAAAGAAAATCTCCATGGCTTCAGAGCAGCAGTTGTAAAAGCACTCCAGCAACCACAGTCATTACATTTAACAGTGTGTGTAGCTAAGGAAAGTCCTAATGAATCGCCTTTTCATTGTTACGTGTAATGGGTGTACCCAGGGAGCAATGCTTACACTGAACAGCATAGGATGCCAGCAGCGCAGCTGTGTTGTGAGGACAGGGCAATCTGAAAATAGAAAGAAAAGCAAAACACATAAACTTAAATATACAAAACGTGAAAGATTTCTGCACTTGGTAATACTTAAGATGCAGCTGTTTTCAGAGAATACAATATTAGGATTTGATAACTTGAATTAAAAAATAATTAAAAAGAAAAACTAATTAGTATCTTGTGCATGAAGCCAGAGCTTCACTCCCATAAAGCCACATTTCATGACTCATTCCACTTTTATAAAACAACAGATCCCTAAAGTACAACATGCTCACCTTCCAGTTAATATATCCTGCTTGATCTGAAGGAAATACTGGTACCTTATGGAGAAAAACACAACATAATGACAACGGATGAGCAAACTGTCCAGATGGTTTTGAAAATTAGACATAATAGGCAGTGAATGCATTCCAGAAAGGCTGCATTTTGATTATCAACCAAAATAAACAAAGGAAAAATTATTTCTTTTACCTGAGGTATTGTATGAGAACTACTCTAAAACTATATGTAACCCTAACCCCTAACCCTAACACAAGTGGCAAATATTTTACATTTGAACTCTTCTGAGAATTCATATCTTCTCTGGTGTCACAATGAAATATCTCTATGTGCAATATGGAAGAGTGGGCGCTTTTCCCTAGCTCACAATATGAGATCACAAAGGATTCAGAGTATTTTATTGACGAACACAGTAAGAAGTTAACAAACATTGTCAGTTTCAAGTAAAATTAATATTAATTTATTAATTTATTTTTCAAATTATTAGAGCACCAAGAGTTGTAGCTGTATGCTCAACTTTTTAATCACATTAGGACAGATGCTGAAGATGTTTTTGTCCAACTTCCATGCAGATGAAAATGATTATGGTCCTCATAATCCAGCATGTTTTAAAAACATAGCAATTAATGCAAAGTAAGTTAACATTTAGGTGTTCATAGAAATCCAGTATTGTAGCAGAAGATTTCAGGTTCAACATAAATGATTTGTCTTCTATTTACTAAGCTTTTGTTTCCGTTTTAATTTCATAAAAACGGAAACAATACTGCTGCTAGTATTCCTGTAAAAGCAATACTAGCAGCAGTTTTACTAAAAAGCAGATGTGGTTAAAGCCATAAACTTGGCTAAATTTGTATCATACATTTCCTACAAATTGTGACACATTTGTAGTTCTTGATGGTGTAAATATACCTATTTTTTAAAAGGCAAACCTTTTCTGTCATATTTTGTATTTGCGTGATTTATAGACCTCTTCTCTGCAAAAGTCTGTTTATTGCTTTGTTGCATGAAGAAAAAATTTACTTTTTGTTATCCGAATTTTCAACTTGATCTTCATGTGGCAAAAAGTTTGGACGCCTCTTTAAAGTGGATATAATTTAATCTTAAAGTGAAGTTGTAAAGATGTGGATCTTTACATATTCAGGTGCTGTGAGAAAGTGTTTAAAACTAAAACTTAAATAATGAAATAAATAAAAATAGCTTCACTTTGCACCCTGCTAAAATTCAAAAAAGAAATAAGAAAAACACGAACTCTGTGTCAAATTCCAGTTGATACTGAGAATGAAACGATGTAAAAACTGTAACATAATGACGCTGTGATGATGACATCCGGACTTACCGTGTGTATTCTTCCTGAAGTTTACTTGGATCAGTCACAAAGAATTTGACTCTGAAGCTCAGGTTATGTGGAGACCCTCCTGAAGGAAATTAGGAGAAACATCAAGCATTTCAATTATATCAATATCTCATGAAGGTATAGTATTGATACAATTGACATTTTCTCTACATAATTTTTCATTCATAAAACTCTGCACAAAGAAAAAGCAAGTGGTGTCTTCAGCCGGTGAGTCAATCAACCGACAAAAAAAACAAGAGTTGAAGTACAGTTCAATTATTGCTGCAGGACGACTGCCGGCTCCACTTGAGCTACTCCTTAATTGTCCTGCATGTTACAAATTCTATTACTCATTATCAAAAAAAAGAGCAGAGTTGAAATAGAGTTTAATCATTGCTCCAGGCGTTTTCAGAATGGTAAATGACATCATGGACTTTTGCTAGAGGCAAAGTGTGGATTGTTAAATGTTACTGAGACTAAACTGCAGATAGGAACACAATGAAAACTGATCAAGTTGGAGTACGGTGAACTTTTCTGGTGGTTTGGTTAAGAGTTTAGGTGGTATGTGGTGGATTTCACCTACTTTTTAACTGTTTCCTGATGGGCTTATTGGAATCCAGCCAGCGCTGTAAAATATTGATAAGAACAGACTTAGTCACTTTGCACAAAGATGGACCACATCATTTAAATTATTCACTGGTGGCCGTCAACACAAACACAGAAACCTGCCAAAGGCTCACACAGATAAAAACAAAACAATCAAACAATCAATGTAATATAAAAAAGGGGAGGGGGATCAGGCTAGAGATGAAACAATTAAGTCAAATTAATCGTGCTGACTCATTTATTTAAGTACTCGGCAACTAATTCAGTAAACAATTACTCAGTAATTGGAGTATACAGACTCAAAAAAGGTAATTTGCTAAAAACGAACACAGAGCACTAATTAAGGCAAACCTGCACAAAAATACATATCTTTTGCAAATTATAAATATGCACATAACACCAGTCAGGCTTTTTATGAATGTCTGTGACTGTTGTCATAAAGTGTCATTCGGTAAATAACGACACTTTCAATGCAAAGTTACTCTAAAAGTTGATTGAAAGTAAACTAAAAGTGCCAGCTTTGCATTGTTAACAAAATAATATCACTTTAAAGCAAAGCTGGCACTTTTAATGGACTTTCAATGCAACATTTAGAGTAACTTTCCATTAAAAGTGTCATGATTTACTGAATGAGATTTATAAATGCTCCTTCATGTTCATGACAAATGTTACGTTATGTTTTAATAAATTAAGTGCTACTAAATAAATCAACAAATTGGTGAACAATATCTTTTTGTTTAGCGTCAGATGCATCCTTTGCAACAAATAATCAACTGCACACTCAATGAATGCTATGATTATATGGGATACTTTTTCTAATGTAAAAATAGTAATTGAATTATTTGCTTAAATATATTGTTAAATGTATTTTTAATATTAAGTAGTTCAATGATAAATCTGAAGAATGTGCCAATTTCTTAATCCGATTAATAGATTTATCAATTAGATGTCAACACAGAAATGCATGCTCTAAAACTGCCCTAAAACTTAAGGGCAGTTTTAGAGAGATCAATTAACCTAACAATTGTGTTTTTAGGCTGTGTGAGGAAGTGGGAATAATACCCAGAGAGAACCCACACAAGAATGGGGAGAACTAATCTAGATTATATTTTCTTGAATGTATATAACATTTCAGATGCATTATTGTGCATCTATTCCTCAATGGGAGCGATGCCTTAATTTAAAAACCTATTAAGCACCAGATGAGTTTTTGTTAGAACGTAAAACATTTGAAATCATTGCCTTTTTACACTCAAGTATGGTAGATATTAAGTTAGACAAGTGGAACAGTATACACTCAGTTTTATAGAAGAATTAAAATCCCACAGATCTTTACTACATAAATTCATAATTGATGGCACTACAATAACTTCCCGCCAACACACACACATGCATGCACACACAGAGCAGACTGAGAGCAGGATACTAACTGGTGTATCTGAGCCATCATCAGCCAGGTGCAGGCCAAAGTAGTCTCTCTCGGTCAGCTCCAGGTGCTTAAACACGGCGTCCAGCAGCACCTGGCCGTGATCCGACTTCTGCGGAGAAGAAAAGAAAAGCAACGAATAAGCTCGCTGCTCGTTGTGTTGCTTGGCAAACAGGCCTGCAAATCCCATCTTGCAGCTCCCCACTGAAAGGTCAGGGAACGAACAGCGAGCGAGCCGAATCCCCTTTTCCCACCACAGACATCTAAATTATTTAAAAAGACCCTCGCTGCTGCAGAAACATTTCATCCATTTAAAATTTATCTGCAACTAGTCGGTGTTGAGCCTCATTTAATATGGTTCCAACCACATTGGGGAGTAACATGTTTAAGGAATTAAGCTGATGAACTCCTGTGGGCTACTCTATTTTTTAATTTAGCTCCATTTTGAGCAGAAATATATTATCACAAACACGTAATGACGGCATTTTCACATTAATGAAGAGTATCGATCTGCTAAAACAACGTAACTCAAATCCAGCTGACTTAAAAATCATCCAAACAGACGCTAGACCTGAATGTGCATTTGAAAGAGAGAAAATAATTTGACTTTTGGATGGACTGTGGTGAATTGGATGCAAGCCAGATAGCAAAATGTCACACTAATGGAAGCAGGAAAAACGTAAACAAGGGGAAGCAAATCAAAGAGTGAACAGAGTGCCACTTAGAAAAGAAAGAATGGCTGGAAAAAGCAAGGAATAATTGATTGAATCAATCATTAAAAGCTCATCGTTCTGAGAGAGCGTAGGACGGGCGAGAGGATAAACTGTGGGAACACAAGTGGAGCAGAAATTCACACCTGTAACTTTGAGAGCAAGAGGGAGAAGCTGAGTGTGGAACGCCATCAGCGCTCCCACGGGAGAAAAATCACACACACACACAAACACAGAGACACAGTTTGTGCTTCCGTCCACTTCTCCTCTTTGCCCTGGTGACACAGTTACACAGTTTTACAGTGCAGAGTGTGTGAGCGAATGATAGCTGACAGTTGACATGTTGACATGGCAGCCCTCTAGGAGACCTGCCAGTGTGCGTGGGTGCACGCGTGTGTGTTGTCGACGGCTGTCAAAGCTCCATTAAATGTTAGTGAAGCCTGTGTGCCCCTCTGTTCTTTTTCAGCATTTGAACTTGCGAAGTGGTGTAAAACAACTGACGGAAATAATTACCATAACAGCGATCATTTTACAATGAGGCTGTTTGGGCACCGGGAGTGGTTTTGCTTGTCTCTTTTGCAAAACAACAGTCATATTAGATAGGGGACATCTGCAAAGATCAATATTTAAGTGTTACTAGAGACTCTTACTTAGTCCTAGGTCTGGACTAGACCTACATCTAAGTGATCTAGGTCTATGACTAGGCCATTGTAACGTGTTTACAAACCTGATTAGTTGCGAAAAAGGCGTCATCACACCCACTGCACTGACTGATGTAACTCTCATTACATCTGATTGGCCAAACTCTACTGGTATTTAGAAAGAGAATGAGAGTCCCTTTAACATAAAATAGCCTACACACAAAGTGATGCTAAATTCTTATGATCTAGTTGGATCCCACTTATTGGGACAGGCAGGTACTTTACGGGCACATAGAGCCATTATTTAGAACAATCAAATGATTATCTTCAGTTGCTATAAAAATTCTGTATATGAGTTAAAAGAAATTTGATTTTGCAATTTAACACCTTGAAATTGGGCCTCTGTCTCTTTAAGGAATTCCTGGACTTTCTGAAATGTTGCCTTCAAAAAGTCTTCTTACCAGTTTTTACCAGCGTTCCACTGAGAAGTTGGTGTAATGAGATCAGCAGATGTTTCACCAGGTGTTTACTAATTGCTGCTGGCTAGTCTTAAGAAGCTGATTTGGGATTTCATTCTCAAAGGCGGCGCTCGGTCCACTCAGGCATTTTGTACAGCTGACTGGCTGTCACGGGCGATTAAATAATTTCCCAAAACTCCATGAAGGAACATTTTGTGAAGACGTTATAACACGGTATGTAGCTCTGAAATGTCAATTGTACACAATACTTCTCTTTTAAAAGAAAAATAGAAGTGAAAAACATTTCTGTTTGTATCCCCCTGCTATGAAGACACTTCTATCTTCGCTACATGAGAACTCTAGAGCTTTTCCAGTGCTTCTCCTTTGTATGATGCAGCTTTCAGTTGGATGTGTGAGCCCTCTGTGAGTCTCACACTGCGCTTGCTGAAAGCGTGCACACCGAATGTGAGCCAGTGCAACAGCAAACAGCCGTATGTTGTTGAAATAAAAACCAAGTCACACAGGCAAACATGTCCGCATGTAGTCCTTTTCAGTTGTCTTACCGAACAAAAATTTTACAAGTAGCTGATGGGTTGAACTCACGGAAAATGTGTCACTAAGTGTTACACAATGTAAACTACTGGACACTTTCAAAAGGGGGAAAAAACAAGCAAAAGAATGCAAATGAAAGTAGAAAGAGACACTGAGGGAGACGAGAGAAAGCATGGAAGAAAAGAGGTGATTGACGATGCGACCGGGTGAGACAAACGCTCTTTGTGCCGACTGAAAAAGTGTCTGTGTGCATGAGAGTGAGGAGAGAGGAAGGAGACATGGTGATAGAGAGCAATCACGAGAGACTGGCTGAGAGGGGGAGAAAAGGGGGAGCGACGGGGGAAGATGTGATGATAAGTTTTATACCCTTGGGGTTTATCTTTGGCATCAAAGTGAAAAAAAGACCCCCAGACAGTGGCTGGAGTGACACTGAAGGGGAAATCCCAGTGTCTGTGTGCCTAGTGATACATGGACTTCCCTTTTGCAGCAGGAAGCAAGACTGAACATGGAGGATGAGTTTGTGTTTGAGGAGAAGGGAAATTCAGGAAATTACAGGAAAAAATCATAAAATAAAATTTTATACTTGCATCCATCAAACCACAAACAAATCATGTCTTTTCAGTACGTTCTAAATTACATTTTCTTCCACCTATAGATTTTTTTGCCCAAACTCCTGGTTAATCAGTTAATTAGTTGCTTGTAAAATAAACTATCTCAACATTTAAACCACATTAATGGTCCCAACTCCAGCCACTTATAAAGAATTTAGTGGTTTAAATGCAACCTGACAGATGAGTAAAAGAAAGAACTTTGAACTTTCTCTAAAAAAGCCCTTTTTATGTCTAGATTTTAACTGGATTATTCAATCCAACTCTGGATATGTTTTTAGCTGTATGACAAACCTCTGACAACGGGTGGGCATTTATCGTGTCATTTATCATTATCGTTTCTTATGGTAATAATTTTGATTTATTGTTGTTACAATAAATTCCAATGAATGATTAAAACTCCCAAAACGGTTCATATAAGTGGGATTATTCGTTTCACTAGGGTCTGCAATGCTTGGTCAAAATTTTAAAAAAAACTATCAATAAACTTGAAAATATGATTAAATGCAGTTACTTTGTGCAGTTTAGTAATAACAATTACACTTGTTTATGTGACTGGTGTCCTAGGGAAACGTATTGCAAACGAGATTGTTTTTCAAGAGCAGTATTTCTGTTTGTGGGGCTATGATTGCTGTGACACAAAGTCATACAGTTAGTTACCTAAGAAATAGTGGTTAATAGTTCCAATCACCACTTTTAGCGTTATCATGACAGGACCAGAAAATATTGTGATTAGAAGATAGGCGTCACATACGGCAAACTAATCAGCTAATTTTAATTGTCTTCATTATCTTTGGACCAGCAATGAATTTCAATGAGTCGAAATAAAATTTCTGGTTTTCCACATTCCTGCCCAAATTCACTCTCCCTAGGGTGAGGAACAGATACCTATGGATATCTGTTCAATAAAACTGGACAATAAATCAATTTTATCTGTGATCATATTTTCTGTTTTTTGAGGATTTAATTTTTGGAAAACTTGGACTTTCTTTTTTTTTTCTACCAAACCATTTCTTGCATATTTCTATCGTTCAGAGTAACGTTACTCCACCCAAAAACTATCTTTTTTTTTCTTTTTTTGACAGCATGTTTTATAGCTTTGACTAATTTTGACTTTGATTTCAGGTGAACTTAGAAGGCATGACTGAGCTATAAAGCCATTTTTTAAAGATATTTTCTGTCGTTTAAGAAAAGTTCTGGAAGTAAAGAAGAATAAAACTATAGGAGATTTTATTTTTAAGCCATCCTAAACTAGCATCAAATCGGACAATAGCCTGTTAGAGTAACACTTGAAAATGAAGAAGTGGCTCTATATTTAGCTCTAAATACTCTGTATTTCGCTCTTAATCCTCTGTATTTAGCTCCAACCATGCTCCCATCAACTCTTACCAGCTTTCTTGTCTGGTTATGCATTTTATGGGTAACCAGACTTTCTCTTTCTTTTTTTATTGGTGAGAAAGTTGGTGTTTCCTGGAAATAGCAAGAAACTTACCAGCACTGGTTTATTACTAGTGGCATAAAAACCCACAGTGATATCATGCTGAGCTAGTCTCTATTCAAACAGTTTGATTTACTAAAGAGGAACATCAGCAGCGTCATGTTGCACAATCACTGTGTGAAAATGAGATTGTAGATTTTACTGAGAATTATGACCTCAGTGAACAACTAAATCAAATGTATTTCACAATATGCAAAAAGTTGAAGTGTCGTAATCACAAAACAACTAAAGATAGATTAAAAGAAATTTTGCGTAATTTTAGAAGGAAGTATAAGGTTACGTTTGGAAATTGATCCAGACATGTTGGTAATACGAGAAATTACGCATTTATGTCCACATCAGGTAATATTAATGTGGTCTGTAAATCAAAGTGATGCTGCTTTCAGCTCTGCTGCATACTTTATGACCAAATACCTCTTCCAGGCAACTGAATGTTTACATGGAGAGCAGTGGTTACTATGGTAAACTCTGCAATGCATCTAAATAAATTATCCCTCTGACCTTTTTTTCTATTATCTGGAAGAATCATCCATCAACTTGAGCTTTTAAGCTACTCCTTAGCTTTCTATCTACTACTGATTCTGCCTGATGTCAATTATAATTTCCATCTATCTGAGATCACCCATGCAGCCTTCCGCATGCACACAAGCTCGGTGGTTTCCATGACAGTAAGTGACTGCTTCTGGATTTTCACTCTCCACTAGAATCGCTGACTGCCGGCCAGAAAGAGGATCAATGGAAGTATTGTTGCTCAGAGGATGGCTCGTCTTTCCAGGAAGTTGCTGCGGCTGTAGACGTCTGATCAATGACACCGACAGAGACCGAGTCGTTTCATTCAGCGTCACATGGGGAGGACTGAGTAGCGCTCACGGAGCTGAGGACAAAAGCTCCAAAAGCTCCCAGAAGAGCAAAAAAGACAATTTGATGAATTTCAAAGAGATATTTCCAACCCTCTAAATGAACAGTAAAAAGTTATAGTTTTTATAAATTAATTAAGAATTGATTAAATTTTTTTGTTCCCAAAAATTCTGGTTAAGAAAGAGTGTTTAGAGGAAGTTTCCATGACAAAGATCTATTTTTTTTAAAACAGCAATAAAAATAAAAAATATTTTAAAAAAACATCCTGAAAAATGATTAAATATATAACGTCCTTGCAAAAAATGCGAATATCAGTTGAACTTTTTCAATCATATAAAATATGTTTCCCGACTGACGCATTGTTTGATCCATATATCTTTCAGTTTCCCTTCTTGGTCCCTCTTCTCTGCTCCAAATTAATTTCACTTTCAAATCACCTTAATTTTGACCTTACTTATTTTTAATATTCAAAATTTTCTTATATTTAGCGTTAAGCAACCATTTTAAATAGCTTGAGAATCTGTGTATTCCTTTATAGGGTCTATTTCTCATGTCAAGCATTTAGTAATTTAATATTTCATTCCGAAGGGGTTGTCGGAGTCCGCAGCAATACACCATCCATAAAGAAGATTAGAAAGCACAATCACCAAGCAGCAGACACAGAACGCCTTTGTTAAGCACACATTTCATATTTTTTGGAATATAATGGTTCCAGACACATATGCTGTTTTCTACACAAAAAGGATGCGGTCGGTCAAAAAGGAGCAATTTTTGACTCAAAGGGAATTTCCAGACTCATGTCGACATACATCTGATCAAACACATGACAAAGAGCCTCATGGAGCCAGAAAGAGACGTGACTGTAAATCATGAGCTTATTTGTCACTTCCGTTTTTGCTTCATCCATGTGTTTCTAAAAGCGACGACTCGTGAAGTGACACTTGGGCCAATGAATTTAATTATTGCTGTGGAAAAGAAAATGGACATAAACAGTGTGGGTTATGCTTTAAATGAATCCCAACGAAAGTGTACAGCTATATGAAACCTCTAAATAAGATTAATATGAGGAGGTGAGGAAGAGGAAAGAGAACTATGGGAGGAAATGGGGGAGCAACATGAGAAGGTGTAGGGGTGGTTTTAATGTATTACGTATATTTGGTAAGAGATGCTAACACAGGGGTGTCAAACTCCAGTCCTCGAGGGCCACGGTCCTGCAGATTTTTGACGTGCCACAGGTACAAAACACAGGAATGAAATGGCTTAATTACCTCCTCCTTGTTCTCCAGTCTTGCTAATGACCTAATTATTCTATTCAGGTGTGGTGCAGCAGAGGCACATCTAAAAGTTGCAGGGCACTGACCCTCGAGGACTGGATGTTGACACCCCTGTGCTAACACATCCAGAATTTATCTAGAATATTTTTTTAAAGAACAGAATTATATCGAGTCATACAAAAGTAATCTGATAATCCCCCAAAATAGTATTTATTTCAGAAAAAAAAACATATTTTAAATACAGATATGACATATAAAGGCCTTATTATAGTTATGGGAAAGACTGCTAACTTGACATGTGAGCAGTCACTGAAATTTGAGGGGACGACAGAAACGGTTTCTGCTGGCTGTTCATGGAGGACTCTTTTTGGAAATTTGAGTGAAAGGAAAAAGTGTGGCAGAATGCAACAGGGATAGCACCAGCCTTAAGAGAAGTGCAAAGTAAGAATTTTGTGGTATGAAATTACACAATTAACTGCATGAAAAAGTTAAATAAGCTTGATCATTTTCATTCTGATATTTTTTTGTTTGTTTGTTTGTTTGTTTGTTATTTTACAGAGATGTTTTCCTGTTGTGGGCAACGGGGCCCGGCGAATACCCGTGGTTAAACGGACGGCGGAGTCCGGCGGTAACAGGCGCTTAAATTCCGTGTCAAAGGGAATAGGGAAGAAAGGGAAAAAAGAGGGAAAAAAAAAAAACTTGGTATTTTATTCTATGTTGCATGCCTTTGTGTTTTGTGTTTATGATGTAAAGCACTTTGAAATGCCTTGTAGTTGAAATGTGCTATACAAATAAAATTTGATTGATTGATTGATTGATGTCATTATCCATTTTATTTATGCTTTATTTTCAATATTTAAAATATCTTCCATTTCTCATATTAAGTGCAATTTACAAAGTTAAACCTTATTGGTCTTTGAGAGGCCAAACTTGTATAATTATGCTACAATCAATATATTACTTAAATCAAGGGTGTCCTCTTTCTAAATGAAAGAGAATTTTTCTTTTGATTTGGAAATCAAGCTCTCAGAATATTGGAACATGCATGGAGATGCGGATTTAATTTTCTAGCAGGTCAAACAGAATCTATGGAGGCCTATGAAGAGGAAGACGAGAGAAAGACCAGAGGAAATAATAATAATTCAGAAGAGTTGAAAGCTGCTATTAAAGCAAGTTGACCTTACTTAACCCACAGCAGGCAGGCTGATCACCTTCATGTCACGCTCTGCTGGTGCAGTAATTCAAGCAAAATGAGTCCCAACCAAATATTGAGTGCATACAGAAACCAGTGAGTGGCTGACACATCTGTATTAATTTGGTTCCATGGAAGATCTTCTTCTAAAACTGAGCTTGGGGTTTCCATTAGTTGTTAGTCATAAAATAAAAAGAAATTAAGACCTGCCATATGCACTCTGCATAATGAATCTATATAAACTGAGTTTCACTTACTGAACTCAATTACTGAGATTAATTACCTTTTAAATGAGAGTATAAATTATTAACAAGCACCTGTACATTACATAAAAACTAGGTGGCAATGTGTGAATGATAAATAGCTCATGGGTGCTTTTATCCCATTAATGCACTGGGTTACTTACGTTGACTTTGAACGCCTGCACAGTGTTGTCCAGCAGCAGCACGTTGCACACAACCTGTGTGTGCTGCCTGTCTCGCTCCAGCTCCGTCGCCCGGACATTGTAGGATCTGCCAGCAGGCAAGCGGAAGCGCGCGCTCATCACGCTCCTACCAGGCTCTGCAACAAGCAAACGCAAGGCACAAGATGAAGATGATGTGTTAGAGAAATGGTTAAAAAAAAGGAAAAATGCTGTGTTACTAAGCTGCGCTCAAATCTAACATTTCGGCTGCAAATAGATTGCTAACAGTGCAAAAATTCATGTTGCAAAACAAATGAGAAATGCAAGATCGTAAAAGATGTAGCCGATGTATGTATAGTGTGTTTTAGTTTTCTCCAAATGACTCAGTGAAGGCAGCCAGTGAGAAATGCAAGCCTGTGCAGGTACAGTGAGGCAGCAGAGAATGTGTTTCATCAGAAAAGAATGTCTATCAGAGGGCAAGCTCAAACCTCATCGAGTTTTGAAAAAAACTGAAAATATACATATATTACTTAAAACATGGGTTAAAATCAATCGATTGATTCAGCACATTCCAGCAAGAATTCAGTTCTTCACATCATAAAAACACAAAAATACAGTCATAAAAAACACCATACAGTCAACAATATATTGTTTGGAATCTTCACACTACACAAAATAAAATTTAATTTTGTAATGACATGATAAAAGTTTGTGAAAATGTGAAATTATTGTGATAAACTAATAATATTGTCATTTGGAACCACTTGAACTAATACATTGATAATGACATAATAATGCAATTAGATCTATGCCTGTCACAATAACAAATTTAATTGGATGATGAATAGTTCCCAAAATTATTGCAATAAATGATAATATTGTCATCTTGATACCCTTTTTTAGGGTATCAAAATAAAAGCTCGCCCTCTCAAAAATTAACTAACCCCACACTCAACTGGAACACATTTAAATATCCAAAATAAAACAACAAGGAAATAAAACCCACAAAGAACCAAAGCCATAAGTAATTATCAGAATAAAATGATTAAGCGCAATGTATCATGTGATTGAGTATTATGACATGCTTGATTTCATGTTTTTGTAGTTTGACTGTATTCCTATACAATTAAACAAGATTAAAGTATTTTTAAAACATTCAGTGCAATTTAGGAAAGTAACCAAAAGCCAACTAATGCCAATCAGTCATTCAAATTTGAATACGTCTAACTAATGTTCAAAGTAAATCATATACCACACTGCTGAATAATATCTCCTCCTATGATTGTGAGTGGCTGGTAGATGATGGCAGCTGTGTCTCATTTTGTCATTATTATAGGATTAAGGAATCAAAACTACTTAGTTTCACACATTGTGATGCTTCCATGTCTAAGTTAATGACTCTAGTCAGTCAAAACCAGACCAAGAACTAAACTCCAGTTTGCATAGTTCAGAACAATGTTTTTGTATTTTGTTGGATATTATAAACTTTTGAAACGGGAGCAGCTATATAAATACCAATACCCTGGTGAGTGAATGCTTCATTTTTAATAAACTGTGCGTGTTGAAGGTTTGCTATGCACTGGCATGCAAATGCTATGCAATGACAGTCTTGTCATTACAGATTATATCAGATTATATCAAAGCTCAGAGACTACTAGCAGATGATAACGCATACTCACTAATAGCCACACAGCCATTTGTCTGAAAACCACATATTCTTTAAATTTCACATGCTAAAATACACAAACATGGTTCATCTGAATCTGGAAAATGCCATTTTTTGTGAGTAGCAGTTGTACAAAACACCTCTGCTGCTCTTAGAGGAAATTCTCACACAGCTAAGAATCCCACACAGGAAAAGAGCAAATGACTTTTACAGAATGTGTGTGTCATGCACACAATAATATTTCTATGATGTAATCAAGTGACAAATAGATGAAAGGATGGGATTCATCACTATCCATCTGATTCATAACAGCAGGCGACAGAGCTTGCCACCTCCTCTTGGAGTGGGTATATAATATTGGCTCGTGTCATGTTATGCGTCTGCGATTGGCAAGATGTGCAGGTTTTAATGTCGCTCTTCTGCCCGCCAACAGAACAACCACAAATAAACAATCTGGCAAGCACAAATGCAGAAGTAGAGGCACGAACCCACAAACATGTGCGAGCGTACCAACAAAGGCAGGCAGGCACAGTGACGCTGTCGGCGGGATGGTCAGCCCGGCAGAAGTGGATGCTGAGATGAAGCCATGTAGAAAGAAGAACAGAGCGAGCCTTGCAATGACGAATGGCACTGGAAGGTGAAGAGGGACTTTATCCATGTGGTGCATTATGTTTTTCCAGAACAGCTCCTCCACTCATCATTTTATCTGATCACAAAGTGTGATCCAAAATCAAAGTAATGACCTTTTCTTTATTGGTAAAGCGAGCAGCAGACAGTCTCTGCTTGCCATAATGTTTACTTTTGTTTGTTAACGCATAGTGGTGTGACTGCTTCCTGCTGTCTCACAGTAATCAGCCTGTCTCATCTCAAGCCCCTGCAGTAAATGTCGCCAGAGAAGAAACAGCATCTGAGCACAATGAAGTGGAGTGTCACATCAACTTTGGGTTAGAAGAGGTCAACACATCACTTCACTTTAATTAGACAAGTTGCCCTGGAAAAAATTTTCACACTGCTTAATAGCATCTTCAAATTAAAAGGTTAAATACAGAAACATTTTTAAAAATTAATCCAGTACTTGAATAAAGGTGTTTTCACACCTGACTGTCTGGGAGTCTGTTTGATAGAAGAACAAGATTTCAACATTCACAATGCACCGAGTCAAATGATCCAAACCCTTTAGAAAACCTGTGGTGGCATTGCACCAAGAACCACTGAAGGAAACGACACAAAAACCCCTCAAGACATGAACGCAACTTCCTTCTTCAAAAAATGTAAACCAAAATAGAGTAGCATCTGATTTTGAAAATTGTAGGATTTCTGTTTTGTCTTAGCTACAAGACGACATGACATAGGAAACTAAGCAGGACTGGAATGAATGCAACCTTAAACAATTGGCCAAGATGTATCATCATATATTTCACCATGTCATCATTAAGCAGAACTGCATGAATATCACAAACATTGTTTTCTTTCACCCAGGATGAGCCATTTATATCCAAAGTTGCCACAGGCCAATTCTGCCAAGTTGCATCATTGTGTGTCTGAAATGGTACAAAAGAAATGGGACAAACTAGCAACAGTGGCTGTGCATTAGAAATAGAGGAGGATGTGGATGTTATTCATAAATGTGTTTGGGTTACAATTTTTAATGTAACTGAATTGTTAAAAAATAAAAACAGAATAATAATTCTAACATTAGAAGAAAATGGCTGTTTTCAACATGATTCCTACATATTTCACAGATGAAAGCCGTGTACTTTTCCAGCCATTTCTTCATGGCTCAGACTTGAAATATGGAACCACCAGGAAGAAAAGAACATTGGCTGATTGGACTAATAATGGATTAACAGATTAATGGATGGATAAAATGAACAAACAGAAGGGTGGATAAGTGGTAATGGAAAGAGATGGTTAGTTGAAACAGGGACAGACGGAAAATGGACAAAATTATTGAAGAAACCTGGATGGGAGGACAAATGGATGAACAAACACAAAAACACAGGGTTAGATGAATGGATTATGGAAAAACAGATGGATAAATATACAGGTATTAGAATATTTTGTATTTGTTCAAGAGGGGCAAAAGTAACTATAGGTTTTTAAAAATGAATTACATTATCTTATTTTCATCCCTGAAAATTATTGCTTTAAATACAACAAACAGGTGAATTAAACAGGCTACTTCAATTCACCTGTTGCATTAGGTAGTAGTATACTTACTTGAAACAGAATAATTCCATTTAATCATATTTCAATTATGTGAGTTTTAATGATGCTCTCATCTGGGTAAGCTTGAAAGCAATATCAGTTCGTCTGTCATTATGACACAGCGCAAATCTTATGAAGATAACTTTCCCCTGATTACAATAAAATTGTTTATCTCTAAAGATTCATCAATGAAAGGACAAACAGTTGGAAAGACAATGGATATTATGATGGAAGGATGGAAGGAGGTGAAGTCTGGAATACAAATATTTTCCAGAACATATCTAGACTGTGCAGGACTCTTGATGTAACTGATGTAAAATATAAATAAATTAAATAAAAAAGCAATGATAGAGGCAACATGCTTTTATAAAACTTTAAAATATTAGTTTATGTGGATTTTGTTTGATTAGATATCTGCCAGTACACCGCACCTTGAAAAAAAAGTAACAGTCTCATACGGGTTTTGGTGCTCTACTAAAAATTATAGCAGCTTTCTTAGCACTTTGTGTCAAATGCAACATGACCCTGGATACTGTGTGCATTTTACAAGCCCAGAGGAAAATAATGTAGTGTAACAAACCAACTAACATTTGGATGTTTTTTTTTTCTTTTTGCAAACAATTGCTTACTGCAATTATTTCAGTTGTTTTTTTATTTTTTTCTTTCTTTTTAAACTGTTCCAGTTCTGTTGTATTGTACCATTCTCAATTGTACTCTAGTCTATTGACAATGTTCCATAATTTTCTGCACCGCTGTGTTCTTTTCAGCGTTGCTCTGCTGAGCTGGACAGGACGGCTTCGCTCCCCTGAGAGAAGCCTCCGGAACTCCGGAAGCATGCTGCCATTATTGCTTCCTGCAGTCAGCAGAGCTTACAAACATGCGGCAGAGCATCTGCGTACGTCCGAATCTGTGTGTTTGCACTATAAGGGCCCATGACCCTAAAGCTTCTCTCACCGGTGGGCTTCTCTCAGCTTATGGCAATCACAGACAGCCCTGCAGCCTTCCTGTCGGCTCTGCGTCAAACATTCTTACTTTAGCAGATAACGTAAACATACATTTGCATTATTTTACTTTAAAATCAGGCATGCAAAAAGCCAAGTCAAACAACAATATTGGTACAGATGTAGCTTGACAACAAATTAACTTCATTTGTCCCATGCAATTGTACTAATGCTCTAATTTCTTCAAAATAACTTGAAGACATGCATACAAATGCACTGATGCTTTGAAACAAAGCATCAGAGCTCTTAAATGGACTCTAGCTTAAAAAAACAGCACACAAAC